TTCATGCTGTTGTAACGAGCTATTATTCAGAATTGTATCTTAACGCGACACCGTGTTAGAGAGGCGAAGAGGGCAAAAATAGTGCCGAAAACAAATGATAACGATTTAAGTTTTATTAAAGATATGGATTAAAATGTCTCAGAAAATAAAAATCCGCTCTGCATACTGTAAACGAGGTTGTTGTTCAGTTCATCCTCTTTGTAATCGGCGATTATTCAAAATTGTATCTTAACGCGACGCAATGCATAAAACGCGGGCCGATCGCCGGTCTAGAAGAACAAAAACAACTTTCAAAATATGATAAATGTAATATATCAACATTTTTATAGATTGGTGAACTAAAAAGTGGCCTAGTAAAATTTCAAAGTTCGTTTAAACTCTCACAGTAGAAAACGAGAGATGAAGGTTTGGGCGAGCAACCTTCAGTTCCAGTTGACAAATAGTTCCAGCATTACTTTATTTATAGTCTAAATCAATGCTTATGTGCGTTATTGCTTAAGAATGCTTTTGATAATTCAGTTAATTATCTTTCTTTTTCACTGAATTAATTTAGGTTAAACTAATTTGACGTAGGTTATATAATTCCATTTTTTAAAATTGGTTTCATCAATTGTTTGAAATATAAAAATAATTGTTATTGTAGGGATTCATTTGTCTATGGGTCATAAATACATTAATCAAAAATTAGTATTTGATTGCAAGATTTATTTGTACGTTTCGAGAAAACTCTGTCCTCCTCCTCAGCAATGTAAAATGTTACAATAAATAAATATTTTTAGGATCATTCAATAATTCAGTCATTATTAATGAAAAAACATAATGCTTAAACATTTTTTAATCAAATACTAATTTATTTATGAACTTTAGGCAAATGAACCACCATAAAAAAAACAAAGATCAAACAAGCATAATGAAAAAAATTGGTATATAGTATGTGAAATTCGTATATATGGTATCCCGCCGTTCCTTTTTTTTTTTTCATTTTTCAAAAAATAATCAACAAATTTTGCCCAGCTTTAAAAATTATTTCAGAAAACGTAAACTAAAGTTTTAGAAACAAATTTTTTTAATCTTCTGAAAAAATGAATTATATAATAAAATTTATACAAGTTTGAACGACAATGTAGCCCTGTTTACATAAAAAATAAATGAGCTATGAAAAAATTCTCAGAAAATGATTTTTTTTTTTTTTTTAGAAGAAATGTGTCATAGCTGAAGCATATTTTCTAGATCTGATAACAACTATCAGGTAACATAAGGTTTCCAGGGAAGTGGGAGGCTGAATAAACTAACGTTGATACCTAATTATTTAAACTAGTTTTCTTGGAAAAAAGTTTCTAAAATTATAATTTGTGCCTTCCTGTACTTCCGCCTATACGATTTTTCTTCTAAAAGATTGTTTATACTTGAAACATTTCAATTCAAATATAGAATTAAATTTTAACTACTTTTCAAGCGATCATATGGAATTATTCGGGAAAGTATGTTATATACATAAATTATAAAGGTTTCAAGGGGGAAGACTTCAGCCAAGTTTCATTGAAATCGTTGAAGCCGTATTGGCGCTACAGCCTACAAAGCGAATCACGTTTTTCGGTCGCCATTTCGAAAGAAAAGGTCCGATGATAATGAAACTTATACAAAAAAAAAAACTTCTAAATATTATTGCGACTTAGTGTCAAAATTTAAAAGAAATCGGTGAAGAACTTTCGGAGATAAGCCGTTTTGAAACAAACTACCATTTATATTTTTGTTTACATACTATTTAATATTTTTATTTATTGATAACACTAAAGCTCATGAATATTTAATAAACAAAAAAAGAAGAATGAAAATCGGTTGAATAAGAGAGGAGTAAAAGGGGCTGAACTGGTTTGTGTTTGCCTATTTATATAATGATATAATATCAGATTTAGAAGTATTAAACTACTGTAAATGTATTTAAAGTTATAAATATATAGTTAACAAATAAATAGTTAACAAAAAAAGAAGAATGAAAATCGGTTGAATAAGAGAGGAGTAAAAGGGGCTGAACTGATTTGTGTTTGCCTATTTATATAATGATATAATATCAGATATAGAAGTATTAAACTACTGTAAATGTATTTAAAGTTATAAATATATGATTTATAAATCCATAAAGTATTTTTTATATTTCACTTCTTCTTTAATACAATTACAATGAAATAGTTTTTTTAACAATGTCATCGCCTTGATTAGGTGGATTCTAAATACTTTTTTCAAAGTTTACTTTAGTTAGTAAATTTGAAAACATGTGATTTCCGTTAAATAATATTAGTTTTCACAAATTATTATTTATATTTTTCTTCACTCTCCATTACCTTCTACGACTTTTTATATTAGATAGTGTTTTTTCTAAAATTCTCCGCTTTCCAACAATATATTATAAGTATACCTTCTGACTAGTAGTTCCAGAGATTCGACCTAAATTACGGGCGGATCTACGGGGGAGGGGGGGGGGGGGCTTTCGGGCTGAAGCCCCCCCCAAAATGGTAAAATATGACCATGTTTTATCGAAAAAAATATTTAAAAAGTATCTCTTAAAGTATTATTGTTCGTGTAATTACATTTAAAAGGGCTTTAGGAATCACTTAAACACCATTTCATACAGTTAGTTAGTTTCTTTCTTTTTTTCCGAAGTAATTATCGTTATTTTTATGAAAAAAACAACTTTCGGGCTGAAGCCCCCCCAAAATTAAATCCTGGATCAGCTAGTGACCTAAATAAACATGTTCCCTTTTTTCTCCATTTCTCAATTATCGAATTCTTTCAAAAGTTATATTTAGTATTTTTTTGTAACTCCTAACAATGAGAGATAGTTAATTATTTATAATAAACCTATAAGTAACACTTCCGGTTAGCCGATTTTAAGGAAAAAGTTGCCTTAAAATCCCAATGTTAATTATGTAATATCAGTTTCGCACTACTTGTAATTTTTTTGAGATAGACTGTTTTCACACCCACGAACGCACGCAAGCGCCCCCACCCACACACACACACATCCCCTTACTATATATTACACAAACCATTTGTTCTACTAGCCCAATAGTAGTGCAACCCGATTCAATACTATTCCTACCGTAAATGTATCCTTCCTTCTTTATAACTACTAAAAGTTTGAGATTTTAAAATTTTTTCACAATTGTTAGTGTTTTACAGGTCCATGATAAATAAAAGCCTTACTTGTTTATTTTCTTGGTTAATGTTAGTGAATGTTCTAAAATAAGAAAAAAGAAAATTGAATCAAAATGATTTAAAATATTAATACTAAGCCAGTGAATAATTATTTGCCTAATAATGTAATTTTCATTTAAAAAATCTTCAAATTATATTAAAGAAAGCTGATTATATAGAATGTTTAGAAGAAAAATATATATTTTATTCATATATTGAAAATTGCTAAACACATTTAATTTTTATTTCATAGGTCCATATTTATTTATTTATACTTATTTAAAATACATACTTCAGCTACCAAATGTAAGCCGGTGTAAAAACTTTTTTTCTTCCTCCTATTTTTGCCACAGGATTTTAAAGGGGAGCATTAAAAGCCCCTTTTCTCCATCCCTTGGAACCAGGCTAGAGTAAAATTTTTATCCATAACAGCATTATTGTTCCTATAATTACTGTTAGTATTTAAAAAATAAAACAAGTTAGTTCCCTTCCAAAATTACATTTTAAATCCGGTACTGCCAACCACACAATAATTGAAAATAGACTTTTACGGATAACCATGTGGAAATACTTATGATAACATCTTAATAAGAATAGTTTAATTTACCCTTGATGTGGTGAACGATATTGTGAGATGTGCATGCTGAAAAGAAAAAATAGTTTTGTACTTTTATGAAATAAATAAAAGCTGTCAGTACCAAATGTATGTACCGGCAGCTTAAGTACTTGCCTGGAGCGACAATTTCTTTAGAGTGGAAAAACAGCTCAATTAATGAACAGTACATCAAATAACTTAAAAACAATGTTAAAGAACTTCTCCATGATAGTAGCTATGTTTCAAAAATATTGAAATATCGATATTAAAATTTGACTATAAAAACCTATTGCTCTTCCACTACAAAAGGAAAAATCTGCGGTGCGAGCATCACACAACTTTCACTTACCAACAATATAGTATATAGGTATTTTCATATATGAGCTTTTCAGTTGACAGAATGACTAACTCCAATTCCGACATTTTGGATTATTAATTTGTGATATTTCTAGTGAGAAAATGTATACCTTTGTTTACAATCCTATAATTCAACAATGTAATCACCTACTCTGAAATCTACTTACTTACTGGCTGTGCAGATATTATAAATTTTCCAACTAGAAATATCACTAAAATGACTTTACACAAAAATGTTGAAATTAGAGTTCAGTCATTCTGTCAACTGAAATGACTCATATAGAGAAGTCAGAATGAAAACAATGCACAGGGTTTAGAGGCAGAAAAACCCTTTAAAATCATGTTTTTTATGCTATATTATCTTTCCTTTACATCTCTGTAACATAGGAAAATAGCTATTTCCACCAGTTTACCTCGATATAACCCTTAAAAATACAAATTAAAGAGTAATTTTCAATGATTTTACAAAACATTTATTTTGTTTACTGATATTTTGAATAAATATTTTTGGGTCTTAGTAAGAGAGAAATTAGTGATATTTTATTTAAAATGTTGGACATATGAATAAATAAGTATAGAAAAAATTTAATTAGGTTCAGTCTTAGAGTTTGTTGGTTTTAATTGTTATAACTATGTAAAAATTGAACCAAAAAGTAAATATGAACAACTAGCTACACTAAGCTATAGGCTGGGACTTATTCCATTCGATAGTAGTTATCAAAACATACATTCTTCAACAAAAAAAAAAAAAAATCAAACTACTAATCTTGATAAAATAAGGTCGTGAGACCGGTATATCAGTTTTTGGAATATCGTTATCTGCCCAAATTAAAGGAAGGCAAGGAAGGAATTTGTTGGAATTGAGGAAAATCACCCTAATAAAACACCATAACTTAGGCTGAACGGTGAGGACATATTAAAAAATAAATTTACACTTATCCAAGTTTAATTTTATGACAAAACCACCCAACTTACTAGCAATAGAAAAAATATTTGATTTTTCTAAAAATAAAATAACTAGGATTATTCAAACATTATAACACAACTGCTGTACTATTGATAAAGCTCATCATGCCATTATGTAAGACATAACTTAAATTTAGTCTTTACTGCACGTTTTCAGAAGATAATTTTAGTTTTTGAGACAAATAATAACAAACGCTTAGAAGTTTCTTAGTGTTGAATATTTTATTTTTACACAATGAATTAAACGTATTCAACTATTTATGATGAACATTAAAAATAAAATTAAGTCATTATTTTAACACATTACAATAAAAGTGTAATATTAAAATAGAAAAAAAATGTATACCTAATATAATTATTAATAATCGATGTTTAAACAGAACCTATGAAAACTCTCATATTAGTGGATTGGTGATAATATGGTTTTTAAATATTTGCTATTTGTTAAATTATATAAGATTTAACTGCTTAAAAATAAAAAAAATATTTCCTTCCCCCAACAGTCAAACCAAACATTATTGGCTGTACAGAAATATAAGTAGTAATCTTACATTTCCAAGTTAAACACTATATATACACATCTGTATCATACATATATACACCAAATTTATTTTTATTTACAAACATATTTATAAAAAAAAAAAAACAAGAAAAAATTAAATAACGCACAGAATTATAACAAAATAATTATGATTTTTATAAAATATAATCTTCTAAACATTAAATGGTAACAAATGAAATCAATACTTAAAAATGGACTGAGGGTGATTATATAATTATATACAACTATATTTAAAATGCAATAAATAGAAAAATGGTTGAGCTAAAATTTACATGTTTGTATCAAACATAGCAACAGCCAAAAGAACATTTCTTCTTGAAAATTGCAATGAAATCAAAGGTGAAGATTTAGTAGCATATGTTCTTAAAATATATGATTCTGTATTACTTCTTATTTCAGGATTGTGGGTTACATTAACATCTTCAATAGACACATCTTCTGCCAATTTTGAGAAATCCCATAGTTTCACAGTGCAATCCAAAGACCCTAAAACCATCAAATATTAATTGATCCTTCTAAACAAAGTTATAGAAGAATTGTAAAGAGATATATTTAATTTATAAGGTTATGCTGCCCACATAAATCTCATATTGCTACATCACACAAATAATTTCCATTAGATAAGTTAAAATTATAAATATATACACACACACAATATATATGTTTAAACTATGTAAATTATAGAACAAAATATTTAAAGTTGTAATATTAATTTTTATCAAACAAAATATCTTCCTTCAATAATGGACAAATAATTAAATTAAGCAGGAATATGGTAGTCATTTTTTTTTTTAACAAACTGCAGAAGAAATTCGACTACTAACAATTAAAAATATACAAGTAAAACATATTCTTGAATTTAGCTCGATGTTATAGGATTGAAATCAAACTAAAAAATCAGTCCTTATCTGACAAGCAGGAGAGGAAGACCATTATAATTAGCTTTATGAAAGTATAAAAAATTATATAAAGGAGGACATCTTTTATGGAACTAAAAGAAATGTTTTGCAAAAAAGGAGAAGTAGACCAAGGTGAATGGTGTAGCTGTAGATGTTTGATCTATGCTTGGGATCAGGATATGGAAAGTGGCAGTGCAGAACAAGGACGACTGACAGGATGTCAAATCTTTATTGGCCTTGTCCCTTGTTGCTACACATGAGAAGAAAAGCATATCTTCTTTGCAAAGTTTATAGTTTGCTCCCCAGATGGACTAACAAGGGATTCCAATGGAGCCTTGACTATTAAAAGGCTTTAATCTTTCTTGTGCAGTTTGGAAAGCCTTTCTCAACAAAATTTTCTTCTACAAGTAACTAATAAACTATTAACATAATTACGAATTCTGACTAATCAATCACTTATATTGAGAAAAATTAACTGAAGATAAGAAATTAGAATACAATACAGGCAAGAAATAATAAACAGTATTTACAAGGAAGGAGAAATTACTCAAATCATTATTTGTCTGTACACTGAAGCATTAAAACAAATGGAAACCATGAATTATCTAGGCCTAATATCAGCATATACAGCAATGGTTTTAAGTAAATTCTAATGAATATAAATGCCCTCACCAAAGAGGCAAGGTAGTTTTGGCCCCAGATATTAAAAGTTATCTACCAGACATTGTAATAGCAAAACTACTCTAAATAACATCTGTGAGGCATCAGGGACCAAGCAACAGCTCAATCTAACCAAACTGCAACAGCATAAAGGCTAATAGTGAACAGAATAAATAAAACTTTTAATACAATACGTATGATGATTTTTATATTTTAGCAGATATATTGCCAATATTTATAAAATAATAAAACTGACAGTAATAACAAAAGAAAATATATGCAAAGAGATTCTAAGACATAGCATATAACATCAAATAGGAACAATCTATAGAATAATCCATCAAAATATACTAAACTTGCACAATACCTGGAGGAAAGAATACAACTACTGTAAGTAATTGTGGACATTTATATGAACATAAGCAAAGAAAAATATACAATATGGGCTACAAAATGTATCAGAATTTTGCAGAAAAACCGGACAGTATTAAAAGCTTCATACAACAGGCAACACAAACTCTACTGACATCTATACTGTAAATAGAATCCAATAAATAAAAAACAAAACATAAGATCCATCTACAGTAAAAATTAGAAATAATTTCATTGAACTAATGAGTCTAGGTATAAAAACTCATTTGTTTTGGGTAAAGGGACAGAAAATTGACTATTTTATCTCCTATCCACAAAACAGTTAGGATCGTATAACTATATAATATGCAGAAATGATTTATTCTTATTATCCATGTATTACTAATGGCATTGACCATTTGTTTCATATTGTTTTTCATACAATGACAGTTATGTTTTTCAAAACGTATATCATAAGAATCTCAGGCTTTTAATGCCACTTCATCTATTTATTTTTGTTATATCGGACTACATTTTTACTAATCTAGAAAAAATCTTCATGACTGTTACTTGATGTATGAAATGTTATGTAGCCTCTATATACATATGGTATCTATAACCTATTTAAACATGTTTTAAATAACAGATGTAAATTTCTTAAAGGGCTTTGTCCCAGAATAAAATTATTTTTCTGTTTTATTCTATATACATACATATGCAAAAATAGCACAAAATTGCTTCAATTATACACATTATTTTTAGAAATTGTAAAAATCAACGATTGATCTTCTGAAATTTGAATATTCATGACTTAATATGGTTTTAATTTGTAACATATTAATCACCAAATTTGATAAAAAAATAATTTGTTTAAAAAAATATTTATCAGAACCATACCGGAGGCTAATATAGTGCCATCTCTGCTGAATGCTAAACAATGAGTAGGGGACGAATGAGATGCTAATTCAGCAAGCAAATGTCCATGTGCTAAATCCCACAACAGCAGTCTATTATCTGCACCAGCTGAAGCTAAAAATCTTCCTTCTGTAGAAAAACTGAGGGCTTGTATGGCAGCCTACAAAGTGCATCAATTTATTATTATATAAAATAATTTAAGCATTAAAAATTGTTTTATAAATACATGATTCTAAAGAAGGTTTGTTTACCTTATGACCAGTCATTACTCTAACATGATTGCCAGTAATACAATCCCAGAGCCTTATAGTTCTATCACTAGAGCCAGTGGCAACATAGTTAGAATTTGGATGAAACTGGACTTTCTGAAAATTCAAAAAAGAATGTGTTAGTTACCCAAATACAAGTAATAATAATAAGAATTGATATTTTAAATGAAGAAAAAAAAAAGTACTATATAATAAATATTGCAGAGAAACTCTCACAAGAAATACTGCAAACAATTGAGAAAAACTGGAAATATACACAAACATCAGGATAAAAAGAGAGGGTACAAAGTGAGAAAAATATGGCAATCTGACGCCATTAAAAGAAAAAAATACTAATCATCTGGAAAGCACATTTCCAGTAGCTTCTCAAAGGAAACCCATAAATGAAGAAGATATGTACCACACTAAGAACATTGTTCAACAATAGGTTGAAAAACAGATATACAAATTGAGGAATTAGTGACCTAAGAACCATTCTCTCACGACTAATCCTAAAAATATGAGAGGATGAAAGGATAAATGAGGCTCGGAACATAAGGACTAATCTACCCTATCCTTAAAAAATCCATGAAGCAATTTAATAATTATAGGATGCATAGCACTTCTTGCAGTTGTATAATAATGACCACTATTCTGCTAAAATGAATGTATCTGTGTTATGAAAATATAATAAGTGATCTTTATGGTTTATGAACGAATGCCAACTTAATAGGCAGGTATTCAAATCCTTTATGAAAATAGAGCTATGAAAGCCAAAATTAATACAATTATTGTTAGTCAGCGAGTTGTAATTTTGTGATAGGGCTAAAATTTGTAGATGTTGAGTGCAGAAAATTGATTACGTGGAGGACGACTGCGAATCTATTGTAAATAGAAGAAGAAAAAACTAAATAATCAGACTTACTCAGATTAGGATTTAAATGTTTGGTACCGAAACAAAATGAGCTGAATTGGTGGCCACTTTCATCGTCTCCCTCATCCTTGCAGCCCCTTTTGTCTTGGAACATTTCTTCTCTACTCTTCCATGCTTTCAGAAAACATACTGGATAACAGAGTATAATCGGTTGGGTTGGGTTTAGACTCGCCATTTTTTTCTGTTATCTGTCAGTTTCTTCTTTTTATTTAGAGTTAGCTCCCAATAGTCAGGCTGCCAACTGCTCATGTTTTCTATATTCCGGGAACCCAAAATATCACCCTAAAACAAGTGTTTGAAAAAGGACAAGAAGTACCTCAGGGTATGCACATCTTATTGATTAGTCGATTTCAAAGCAGCTTATGATTCCATGGACAGTCACATCATGATTAATCTTATCGGGAGTTTACAGGAAATTAGTGAGATTGATAAAGATATGTACAGTTGTCCTTAATGTTGAGTCCTGATACAAGGAGAAGTATCTGAAATCTTTAAAAGAAATTTATGAGATTGATAAGGACATGTATGAATGATCCTAAATGTAGAGTCCTGATACAAAGAGAAGTATCTGAAGTCTTTAAGGTTCAAATTGGATTGCAGCAGAGAGATGAACTCTCACCATTGAAAATGGAAAAGTGCATGCAAATCGTTTTCGAGAATAAACAGATTCAATGTTATGCCAATCCTATACCAAGCCTTTGCAATAATCATAATAATAATTGGTCAGCGATAGACCAACTTATAAAAAATACAAAAAAAGTTTTTTTTCACTCTTTCAAGGATATTGAAATCACAAAAAAATTTTAGAAATCTCAAATTTAGGGCATATAAAGCTGCGATAAAGCAAGTTCTGACATACAGCTGCCAGATTTAGACACTAACTAGCACTCTAGAAAGAAATATTGAAAGATTTGGAAGGAAAAACAGCTAAAATCAGACCAATGTTTAAGTTGGTGTTCTTGTTCCACTTTGAGATATCACTATAGTTTTATTTTTTTAATTAGTAATAAATTTAACAAAATTACATTCTTACATCTACATCTGCAAAATGTCCAGAGAATATCCTGAGTGGCTGATGATGGTCTGTAGCCCATAGTCTTGCAGTTTTATCATGACTTGCAGTGACAAAATAATAACCTTGAGGAGAAAATTTGACATCCCATACAGGGAAAACATGACCTTTATAGGCAACCAAGCATGTCCATGTTAGAAGGCTCCACAGCCTAACTGAAAAAAAAAAAATAAAAAAAAATTGGTAAACAAAAAAAGGCTAAAACCAATATATTTTATAATAATACTTCAAGAATTTCAAATTCCCTATCATATATCTTAATCAGTATACATTTCTTTACAATTTCCTTACAGAGGAAGTTGATTAATGGTAAACAAGGGCTTAAAACAGGATAATGGTAGAAGAAATGAAATAACTGCAGAGGGTAGTGGGTAAAACCTTACATATTATTTCTGAATATAGATCTCTTTTCTGGTTCTGAGGACTGATGGATTCTGATGAATGAGGTATCAATAGAAAGGAAATTTCACGCAAAATGTGCAAATTGTAATTTTGATTGTCATTTTTTGATTAATCAGGTTGGAGTCTTGATGGATATTGATATTGATGGATAAAATTTTAAGCCCTGGAGATGACCCACATGTTTGGGTCGAAACGTTGGCACAAATAAAAAAAATTGTATAATGACTGTGTCCTAAATATTTATCACCCATGATATGTAGAACAGTCGACTGACTAGCTTCCTTCAATAATTCGAAAGAGATAAAACTTTGTTTTATTCTGAGCTTTTAACATTAGATGAACAGTAACTCAACTAAACTAAGAAAATCTATGGACTTATTCAGCATAACTAGATCAGAGACAGTTTAAAGGTTAAGTCAACTGATGCTAAGAAAGGTTAACTGATTAAGGCAAACAGTTAACTGAGCAGGCTGATGATGATCTGCTACTTAGCCACAAATCAAAAATAAGTTTATAATGCAAATTTTATTTTAGGATTTAACTTTCTGTAATTTTAGAGTATGAGAAATTTTGGAAGTTGATTAACAAGAACTAAAAATTGATATTATACAAAGTGCTAGTTGTCTTCCTTATTATAAACAAAATAAAGATAGAATAAACATAACATCAGTAATACAAACAATAGATGAGATGGATTAAATTACCTGTAGAATCTTCTGAGCATGATAATAAGAGTGTTTTATCAGGACTGAAAGATACGTTGTAAACAGGACCAGAATGGCCATAAAGTAATCGGGAAGATTCAGCATTTCTCTCATCCATTATTCTAGCCCAAACATCCTCTGTAACAAGAGTTGATAATATTTAAATTAATTATAACCAAATATACTGAGTGTGTAGGGGGCGGGGTGTCGCATCCGCGTGTTAATCCTAACACATGTGCAAAACACGCATTGTTCTGCAACTTGCAAAATAAAAAATACCAGGTGTGTAAATATGAAACCAGAATTCGTCTTTAGATGAATATGGTTATTAATACAGTTACTGTTAAACCACATTATTATTTCATCACCAGCTAGCAAAGACTTTCAACTCAAAACAATAAAAGTTTTATGCCTACAAACTTAAGACAGCATTATTTTTCAGTTTTCCAAGCTTACGGTGAGCATGCTCTTGGTATATCACAGTCCTTTCAGTGGTTTAAAACATTTGAAAGAGTTGATTTTTACATGAGAAATGGAGGATGTGAAAGATTACTGAAAAAATTTGACGTCAGCGAATAGGGGATGAGAATGATGCTCAAACCCAACAACTCATGGAAAAGATCCAGAAGATGGGAAAATGAACACATGAAGTGAATGAAAGAAAGCAAGATAACCACCTCCGAAATGCTGCTCACCAGGTACAAAAGAAAATCATTTATCCATCGATTTGTGTCGAGGTGATGAAAAGTGGATATATTTTGAGAATCTTAAGTATTAAAGATCATGGATAATTCCAGGCTATTAACTTTGATTGCTGTGTTTGGTAGGATCAGAAGGGTGTGTTCTATTATGAACTGCTAAAACCATTAATACTATAGATCGATTGCATTGCATTGCATTGTATATATAGTATTGCATGAAAAATGTCCAGAACATAAAAAAAAGAGTACAACAAAAAACGATTTTGCTTCGTAACATGCCATCACACACTGCAAAACCGTTAAAGGAAAGGACTGAGGCATTCAGTTGCAAAATATTAGTGCATGTGGCTTACACACTAGACTTGGCTCTGTTGGACAATTAATAATTTGCATTAATGCTAAGCAGAGTTTCTTATGAAAATCTACAAAAATGGCTTGACTAATGGTTCATGATTAAAGAGCAACAGTTTTTCTGGCATGGCATTCATAAATTACCACAGAGATGGGAAAAATGTATAGCTGGCGAAATAAACACTTTTTTTAACACTTGTATGCATTGAAAATGTATTTCTACACAAAATTTCTGGATTTCATATTTACACGCCTGGTATATTATAAGATGTTTCATAATATGTGCTACTCTAAGGTCAACTAAACCCTTGCTGTACCAAACTTGATGTTATAATAGTGAAGCAGTAAAATTATTACAACTTTATTCTAATACTTTTTAGTAAGACAGAACTAATTGAATTAAAAATCCTGAGTCCATCGAAATAAAATTTAAAAAAGCTAATCACATAATAATAAGAAATTTGTGTATACAATTTTCAATAGCTGCTATATGCAATCTTCACAATATGCAAAGATTGATTATATAAAAATTAAGCTACATAAAATTAAATATTAAGAAAAACGTTAATTAAATCTTTAAAGGAGCAATGTTATTGAAGATAGAAACTTCCAATAACTATTTCACTAATTTGTCAAGTCTTTCGTTACTGTTAGTGTAAAAGGACATATGTAAAAATTGATTTTTTTTTATAAGAGAAAAAAGGATTATTTCTTTATGATTTATTAGTATAATTTCATATTTTATTTCTCTCTACTATTTTCCTATTTAGCAGCTGCTAAAATATCATCTTTAGCACAAAAAGAATAAACATGTAAAATTGTTACAAACAACCTTTTCCACTAACACTAGCTTTTATTTATTTTTATTTTTTGTGATGATGTAAAAATGCTTATCTCTTTCAAATTTTCAATTATTTCATTGATCATATCTATTTGCTATGGTGAAGAAATTTTATTTAAAAAAAAAAAATATTTGTTATTTTTTTTTATTGGTTTAAATGTAGTCAATAAATTGAGTTAATAATGAAATTAATTTTGAATTTTCAGCTTTCTACATATGCTGCTTTGGTGTTATTAATGTAACAGTAGTACTGGTGGAGAAGCTGTAATGGAGAGCCTATACCTTTGGCCAGCCTTGGTACAGTTCCTGATTGTAATTTATAAAAAGTAATAAAACGATGCTAATATTGTTGTTGACAATAATACAGTTTATAAAAAAAAATAATTGCCTATTAACTGCTTTTATAAATTTTCAGGAAGTCAGAAGGAACAGCAAATGTAATCTTAAAAAGTATGGAAAAAAAAATATTACCTGCTTCATGGTCAATATCTTGTAACTGGTCAGCTGACTTCATAGCTTTGAGCTTTTGGGTCAGAAGACTCCAAACCCTTACATGAGAATTAGAAAAGCCGACAGCTAAAATAGTTGAATCATCTGATATTTCAGCACAAATAACACTGAAAAGAAAATATATAAAGTCAGTAGTGTTGATTTTGATGATGACCTGCTTAATGAAGTAACAAAATCAACCTCCAATCATATTTTTGATAAATGTGCCTCTATGACCAATATTCACAAAGGTCGTGTCACTGTATCTTATTTAATAGCTTCCTTATTTTTACTAAACAATGCTAAATCATCAAGAAATTATATGCACACAATTACGCACATTTACTTTACAGTCTAGATTTAGTCCTTTACTAATTGTATTTACTATAAATACAAAACAAAAATCATTTGCTTTCAAGCTTAACCATTTTCTTTTATTCATTGAAACTAATGAAAATGGCTCATTAACATATATACTGAATTTAAATCTAATATTAAATATGTTATATCTAAAAATAATTTCAAATAATATTCTAACTATTCAATCAATTATAAATTGTTAAAATTGCATAAAATATAAACATAAACTTATAAATATGAACTTTTAAAATAAAACAATTGATGAAATTTATTCTTACACTAAATTATGATAAATAAAGAATAAAGACAATGTTTAAACTCAGAAGTAACATATTAAAATGTTTGTCCTAAATAAACAGTTTTTAAAAACAAAACATTGCAGTGACTGATTTTCTTTGAAAACATTTCAATTCAAAAGTAATATAGATACTAAAAGTCAAAATTCAAAAAGAAAAAGAAAAACACACCTTTGAGCTGAGTTAAGCAGTGTATAACAACAAATGGATGGTAAACTATCAACTCCTAAGTTAACTCTTTTTGAAGATTCTCTCAAGGCTTTGATCTTCTCAGTTTTATCATTATCCTTCCTAGAATACATAACATCATGAGTAAGTTAGGATTATTATCTAATCAAATACAATAACAGATCGAAAATGAAGAAAATGAGAAAAGTGGAAGACAAAAATATACAAGATCTAAAAGCACATAAGGCCTATCAATGAGCATAATTTGATACTATAATAGTTAATATAAATATAATTTTGTAAATCTCTCTCTCTCTCTCTCTCTTTTTTCATTTATCCCCTAATTATACCATGAAAGAAAACTAAAGATCAACAATGGCCTTAACATAGCTCATTTTAATTTCATGTGAGCGACCAGACCGTTGAGCAACATTGATGTCAAAATTTCCCATTGAATGAAATTTGGCAACAACTTTTGACAAGTGCGTTCGGTTAAGGCATCATCTTCATAAACACTGCAAATTTTTCTATGAGCTTCTGTAGCACGCTTACCTTTTTTAAAATAATACAACAAAATAAGCCGATAATGAATGATATTTTCTTCCATATTCACAGTGCACAAGCAAACAAAATACTAAGTTAGTTTTGACAAGTTATCAGATGTAGTTGTTATTGAAGGAAGCTAGTCGACTATTCTACATATCATGGGTGATAAATAGTAATATGACTGCGTCCTGACTATTTATCACCCAAGATATAGTTGTTGGTATATTACAAATAGGATAAACAATCCACCTTAGAGAATAATTCATCAGATAAGAAGTGTATCATAGTGGCATGATAATAAACAAAAAACCGAAAGGACTTATTTGCCAACTCGATATATGATTACTCGTATGGTTTATTGAACTCTTTTGAAAGTTATTGTTTAAGTAAATAAGAGAAAAATATTGAAACTCTGGCCTTTTCATAAAATTTGAAGAAAGCTGGCAAACTGTATAATAATCACATTTACAACAGTATTTACAGTAGTGGTACTACTGTCGCACTACAAGGCTTGACTAGATCGTTGGTAGTAATTGTGGCATAAGTGACATGTCACACTGACCTAATCACTATCAAATCCGGGTGTGGGCACGGGTCCTTTATACTCAAAAACAACGAATAATTTATAAATTCTGAATATTTACATTAAAAGTTTTTATTTATTGGTGAAATATCTGAATATATATATATATATATATATATATATATATATATATATATATATATATATATATATATATATATATATACATATACATATATACCTTCAGTGCATTTCCCCCTCCCCAATAATTAAGGCCAGCCTAACCATTCAGTGAACGGGATGAGGACCTGTGAACGAGGATGACCGGTCTTTGTCGTTCATCCCGTCCACTGAACGATTAAGCGGGTCCTGCTCGTTCAGTCATTTGGCAGGTCCTGCCAGCGTGGGGATTACCTTCGGCTTTTATTATTTCATTTGTGATTTACACATGTTATTATGTTGTTTATGTTTTAATAACTGAAATATTAAAATATTTATCATAATTAATTAATTGTTGCTTAAAAATGATCACTTTAAACAAAAACAAAAAATTATAATTGAAATTCTAACAAATCTTTATACATTAAAATAAATTATAATAAAAAAAATTGACTATTTAATCGGTTTATAATACACACTAAATAAAAATAAGTACGCTTTTTATATTCAAAATTACTAATCTATGGTACTTTTATGTTTCTATTATTTACATCATTATTTAAACTATAATTTACAATTAAAAAATATCATACAGTTTTTCTCACAATATTTACTGGATATAAATTATCTAAAATAAATTTACTGTTTTTCAATTTTTGGTTTATTCGTTAATTATATAGATTAATTTATAAACTTTTTGGTAATATACATTTCAATATAATTTAGGTAGTATGAATAGTAATTTAATCATTGTTTTTTTTCTTTATTCTTTTATCAATAGATCATTTTAATATCCAATAGAACCATACTGGTAAAATAATGACTAATTAATGGAGAAAATTTTAAATGTTTAACAGATACTTCGAAGATTTATTGATTTCTTCGCAGAAAATGTTTTTCATACATATTTACAACTGCCCTATATTCTATAAATTATTATAGAATAACAACGAAATTATTTGATAACTTTTTTTTTCTTACGCCTCTTAACTTTTCGACTTCCGCCATGAGTCTTCTAGCTATTAAATAATATCTTATATTTATTCTTTCATTCTCCTCCACTTAAAAGCTGCCATAAATATAAACTCACAAGCTGTTTGTGAAATGTATTATGATAATGAAAGGACTACAAAAGGAATTGTTATATATATATAGGTAGTATAGAATCACAATAATACTTTATATACTTAAAAAATATATACATATTTTTTGTTGTATTCATACCAAAAATTTCTTTTCATTTTAAAAACAATTGTAAAATAATAATTAAATTTACAAAAGGTTAATAAAAAATTAAATATAACTAAAAATTACATTATATTCTATATTGCCCTGTGTTTGAAAAAATCTTCACAGTTACGGGATACTTTAATTTGGTGGTACACATAATCACTTTTCCTCTCACACCACTACAATAAAAAAAATACATAATAAATAAAAAGATTTACATTGGTTTTTAACAATTTTCGTTGATAGAAATCATTTTTGACAATTTTGAGGCTCCTAACAACTTTTTTTTTTTTCTCAATGTTTGCCCTGCTTTAGAAACAATTCATTCACAGGGCACTGAACTGGCTGACACACATAGCCTCTTTAAGGCTAAAATATGCAAATGTGGATAGATTAATTTTATCTGTTGCCACCATTTTTGTAAGTTTCCCGTTCCTTTCAAGAAACACTTACAAAAGATAGTTGTCAATTTCTACAATAGCCATCACTCGGGAATCATTAATTTGATAAGTTTCTGCAATTTCAACATCAAACTCTTCCCAAATATTATGAGAAGATTTTGTGATAAAATTTTGTTGTGTACTTTCATCTGAATCACCTGATTGGGATGATAATAAAGGTGGCTGTTCTGTTCTTTTTCAAGCAGTATTAATTGCTTTAATTTCTTTAAAATTCCCTCATGTACCTGAATGTATTTAGTGTTTCCACTTCTGAATCCTTTGGTTTTTAACCTAGTATCAAGAAATATTGCTTGCCCTATCATTTCTGCCACATCTCTTACTAATTTTTCTTTTGTTGCATTTAATAGTAAGGTCACACATACTTATTCCTGCTTTTGGTAATCCATCATTTTGTTTATATTTTTGTAAAAATGAGATAATGACCTATTTAGAACTTCAGTCCATGGCAATGAGACTGATTTTTCAGCACTAACTTCTTTAGAGTATACGTAAAATATTACTAGAATTTTTATCAAATGTTCTACAACTTGTCATTCTCCAGTAGTCAATTTGTAATTTTCAATGCCAAGGACTGCAAGGGTTGATATAACAAGTTCTTTAATGTTGATTACATGCACTAGCATATAAAAAACAGAATTCCGAGTGGGAATTTCTTTTTTTAATTTTAATTGTTCAACATTCATTTGAATTTGGGTTTCTTTTAGTTTTCTTGTGGCGATGCCGATTTTGTAAAATATTGGATCATTGATTTTATTTTCTCAACAATTCCTTGAATTGGACTAATGCCTGATTTCACTATTAAAATAATAGTATGTGCATGGCAGGAAATATGCACCTACTAACAAAGTCTAACTGCTGCCACGATATTTGCAGCATTATCAGTAGTTACTGAAATTATTTTGCTTTAGATTTTCCAATTCAATATTTTTCTTTAAAGAAATCCGCTAAATTTTGGCCAGTATGCCGATCTGAAAATTTGAACAAAGGTAGCTATGTTCATCAATGTAATGGGCTGTAATCGTTGAGAAATTATCATTATTTATTGTCAATTGGTATTAGAACAAAATATAATCAAAACCGATTAATGTAGTAGTTATAAACTAATAAAGATATAATAATCGAAGTCTGATTGCGGTATTCTTAACCCTTTTAGTGCCACAGCCTGTTCCATGCCTCTTCTCTTAGTAGCCAATAGACTTGTTTTTTCTTAACACCAAAAACATAAACAAAGATTGTTTCAATCAAATAGAAGCGATTTTAGCTACAGAACATAATTTTCTCTTCCAGAAAAGTTATGTCCAAGATTACAAATGATAGGATAAAGAACTGTCATCCAATTTAGTGTCATAATTAAAATAAAATCAATTAAGCATAATATTATAAAAAAATTAAGTTTGTCTATATATATATTACACAAATAAAGTGTCAAGACTCAATTATTATTCAGGATAATTGTGCCACGAAACTTTTTTAGTCCAAAAAGAGTGCCAACAAATTTTTTTAGCTCGATAAGGGAGCAAGCAAAAAAAAGTTGTTCTAGACTAAGGCTTCCCAACAGATCCCATGAATCATCGTCGACGATGACCAATGCTGTATTTGTTATTGAAAAATTATTTTTCCAAATATAATAAATTAAATGAAAAAAAAATTGATCAAGCCATATTAAAAAAATTAATGATATTTTAAATACTTTTTTTGACACACAAACACTGAGAAAAAGACTGAAAGGAGCAATAATATAGAGTGAACGACTGTCACTTGAAAACCGTTCACTAAAAGGACTCGTTCATTTGGATCTATTCCTCAGTGATTGATACATCTCTAGAGAACACAGGATGATTTTTTTTCCCTAACAAATGATGTAGTTTTATCAAACACAATGTTTCATTTCTATCTCTCCTTATTTTAAAAATAAATATGAAGCTTTGTGATTAGAGAAGGAATTGGGTGTGGTAAGCTAATATGTTATAAAATTAATATTTCCATTAATGGCTGAATCTAAGATGCTAAATAGAGGTGAGAGAGGGCCATGAATGGATTGAGTTGGTTTGAATGGGTGGGGTAAGTAAAAACCGATATTGAGCCAAAAATTCCCCAAATATTTTTTCCTTTAATCACTGGTGTTTGTCTGTGGTAGTCTCTTTTTTATGAAATTATTAACGCTGGTCTAAGACTTTGTGAATGGTTACATCATATTGTAACCTACAACTTTTTTATTAATAAAAACACAGAACATTGATTTAAATAAGTCATTAGCAATTAATTTAATTCAGGAAAAGTAAACAAGAAATAATGTTACTAAGAATTTATTTCTCCCAAAGTTATTATTTGTTTTAAATTAAAGGATGTAAAAACTGCCTCAATAGTTTAGGTCTCAAATGACAAAATATAGAGATAGAATTGAAATATTGTTAGCACACGAATGGTATACATGCAAAGAGATCTCCATTTATGAAGCTAAATAATCTTCTGATAGAAATAAGCAAACACTACAAGAAATAACAAAACAGTAAGTAAACATTAAAAGATACAAAAAAACTTACAGTTCAGGAAATGGAATTCGATCCATGGGTGGAGCATTAGGATCAGTTTTTAATTTCTTATTGAAAAAAGATTCTTTTTTTGGTTTCTTCTTCTTAGGTTTATCACCCCCATCAGCTTCTGTATCCTCATCATCTTCAACGGCTGCGTATTGGTAATCAGGCTCTCTTGGAAGGCCATAATATACTTTGGCTTTATTATCTGTAAGCGGAAGAATCAACTTCAATAATAAACATTAAATTCACCTATAATATTCTTGTGTACATTAAAGACCATTATTTTGAGATCGTAAATCGGATTTAATTAACTGAATTTCAATTAAATCATTTATATAAGCTAAAATATGTAGGTCTACCGTTAAAAAATGTTTTTCATTTCTTTTTACATTAGATAAAATTCTTAATTATTTTTGAATATTGAATAGTTGACCGTTGTATTATAAAGGAAGGAGTTGGTCATGGATGGTGGTTATAAATATATTTATGACCGCCACCCCGAACCATCTCCTTCCTTCTTAATTATTTTTATTTAGAAAAATATATATTAAATATAATTTATTTAGAACTTTATGATTTTTCATTTGAAATTACTAATTAAACTGGAAATGAATAAGAGAAAATAAAATATCATTTAAGAAATAAATAAATGAAATGGAATGAAGATTAACCTAAGACAGACGTAATAATATAAAAAACATATTGTTTTTGTGATTGAAAAGAGATCTCTGGATAATTTAACAATTTTTTTCATATTTTCACAACTACGTTTTAAAAGTTTACAATTGCTATGGGGCCTGTACCCTTGTATAGAGCATCTAATAGTCTGGGAGCCCGTGGCAAAAAAGGTGTCATATTTCATACTAAGATTTGTCCTTATAAATTTACCATATCCATAGGTGTGATGAGAAAAATATACGTCTGCCAGCATATAGCTGTTGGAATACTAAATGGCAGCCAGGTGAAGATAGATAGGAATATGTGAGGTGAAGATAGAGCTCTATATAGGTAGGAAATGTATATACATAGAGGGCTTATAGATATAGAAAGCTATATGGAAGACGGTGGTGGGGCCCGCTCACTTCCGTATTGGTGCCCGCAAAAGAAGAGGACAAGCGTCAGGAAGACCTCCAGATTCTGGAAGCTAGCCGAAATAAGAAGGAAGAAGATAGAACAGAAGAACTGCTAGCTGTGTGCACATCATGTTAACTAGTAGTAGTGTGTTTTATAGTATTCATGCCTAAAACACACTATCGCAAACACCTGTATTGCCATAGTGGCATGGAAGGGTGGAATAAATAAATAAGATATAGAAAGCTATCACCCTTTAAATTTCTAGTATTTACAGTCTTAAGACCTAAAATAATAGTAAGTTTCCCTATACCCATGGATTTCAAGTCGAAAAATCTAATTTAAAATTCAAAAAGTTTACTTTATTTCAGTTTTTCGCTTATATCAGTGAAACTATGCGTTCTATCAATAATGATATATGTGAATTTAAATCTGACATAATTTACAACAGAAATGGATATATTAATTGTTCGCTATATTTTATAGTTTCTATGATATCCGTCCTCGTAATATACTAACTCGAAAAAAAATTTTTTTTGCCTTACATTTTTATCATTATTTGACTCGATAACTTTTTGTCTTTTTATTTTACAAGAAAGTTATGAGGAAGAAAGTTCTTTCATATTAAATTTTATTAAAGAATATACATTACTTTACTATATTATCTTCAACCATTCAAAAGCTAGAGAAATTATAATTTAATGATTAAACTCCGAAACTATACAACAAAAAACTTACTTTTCGTAATTTTCATTATTACACAGCTCTTAGTCAGTACACAAGACAGTATATATACATGCATATTATATAAGCCAATGTATACACATGTATGCTGTCTTATATACAGATTAAGATCTGTGTAATAACAAAAATTGTGAGAAGTAAGTTTTTCTGTATAGTTTCAGCAGTTCAATCATGAAGTTATAATTGTTCTAGCTTTTGAATGGTTGAAGATTAGATAGTAAAGAAATAAAAATTCTTATAGAAAATTTAATATAAAACAACTTTCTTTCTCATAACTTTTTTGTAAAATGAAAAGTTAAAGAGTTATCGAATCAAATAATGATATAAATGCTAGGCAAAAACAATTTTTTTTTTCCGAATTGGTGAATTATAAGGATTGGTATCATGGAAACTATAAAATATAGCGAAACAATGAATATATCCATTTCTGTTGCAAATTATGTCAGATTTAATTTCACGTATAACATCATTATTGATAAAACACATAGTTTCACTGATACAAGCAAAAAACTGAAATATAGTAAGCTAATTGAAAGGGTTGGTAGCTTTCTATATATAATCCCTCTCTATATGTAAGATTTCTACCTATATAGGGTCTCTATCTATCTTCATCTGGCTGCCACTGTGTATTCCAGAGGCTATACGGTGTACCCCGTGTAGGGGAAGAGAGCTAGCTCAGCTTTCTCCCACTGCAGTTCCACCTCCCCAAGATCTCTCTCCAGCGCCATTTTCTTCCAATTTCACACAAATGTTTATTAAAGATAGGGATTTTAATTAAAAAATAAAATAAAACAGTGACAAGAATGGTTATATAATCAAAATAAGAAAAAAAAAAATACTACCACCCTCTGATTTCATGAATTTATAAACGTTCAAATTACATTTTTTATCTGAGAGTGGATAGTGTTTCCTCTACCTAGTTTACTTGACATAATAAACAAAAATTGATAAAAGAAATGAAAAAAAAAAATTCTAAGAGAAATTTCTACAGGAAAAAAAAAATGTTGGAAGTACATATGAATGTGTAGAGAAGACAAAATAGTGGGGGATTGGCAGGAAAATGTTTCCTCATTATGCATCTCTCTCTCCCTCTACCCACCCGCAAACTTATTAAGATGGAGGCTATAATACATTTATGTATATGTGTATATATATATATATATATATATATACACACACAAAAGAGATGTATAGAGAGATAAATAGAGAAAAGAGATGGTCCGGAGTGGCAGTAAATAAAAGCTACATCGAAAGTAGGCCAAACTGTCAGATATTCAGTCTATTAATAGCAAAGATCATACAGAGTTTTTGTATTTTTGCATAATTTTAGAATTCAAAATTCTTCTTCTTTGTTAATAGACAATTAATTTAACAAGCAAGTCTAAATGATCATATTATCATTTCTTAGCAAACACTAAAATCATGTATAAAATTTACCAAAGAAGGTAATTTAAATATCATTAATATTTCATTATTTCAAAATTAAAACAGAAAATAAAATTGTGATATGGTTCTCTTTAAAATATTTTTAAAAATTAAAGATATGTTGAATGGCTTTGCTAAATCACAAATATAGCTGATTAACACTTTTACTAACATTCATTTATTATTAACTCGTGGCATTTAAGAAACTCTTGAATAATACATTGCATATTTGTACTGTTACAAAATAATACCTTGTCTTGTAGCTTCGCCAATCACTGAACCAGCAACTGAATCAATTTGAGATTTTGTTCGAGCTACACCTTCGTACATGTCAAAATATAGATGTTCTTGAATAATATTTAAAATAATGCTTTGTTTTTTCTCTTGTAAGTGCCTTTTTAATGTAGCTAGAGTGTCTCTCGCCATTCTTATTATAAACTCATTCGACCTGAAGTCATTAAAAAATTAATGAAATATAATACATTATACTGTAATAATATTTTATTATTTCTTTTCTATAAAGTATATTAGAACAACAATTATTTATATATACATATATTTTAATTTGTCCTCTCCATTCAATTTCTGTAATATATACACTACAACTTTGTTATGAGAGAATATGTAAATTTTATTACATAGAGATATTATAAATTGCATTATAATAATAATAATAAAAGGCTTAGTGAACCCGAAGGTTTGATGCCGACACCACCAATTGCTTATAACACACTTCCCTTCACCGTTCACCATCCAAACCCAATCCGTTCAGATCGGCTTTAACGCAATCTTCCCACCTTCGTTTCAGTCTACCACTCGAACGTTTACCATTTAGTACAGCAAATATTAACCTTTTAGGAATTCTTTGTTACTAAGCTCAACAATTTTACAAGACCATTTGATTCGCCACAGTGTAATTACCTCAATTATATTAACTGGATAAAGTTCACGCAATTCGGTTTTGTCTAACCGTCTAAACTTTATGGTTAACTCATCTTTCTTCTTTAATTTTCAAAGATCTTAAGATGTTGCTCACCCCTTAATATAAATGGTTTTATGGTTTTATAAATTCTAGTTTTTAAGTTGCAGGACAAGAGGCACGAACTAAGAAGTTTTGTCACAGAAAAATAACAAGCATTGTTTCTAGTTACCGTAGACCCTAGATATCTAAACTTATCTACGTGTTCAAACATATTACCTTATATGTCGAGAGCATCGGCAATATCACTATTTTCGCAGCTAACCATATATTTTGTCTTATCCGTGTTTATTTCCAGCTCTAGTTCTTTACTGACTTTTGAAATAGTTTTGGTATGTAATATAAACATTTTGGTATTTAGTTTTATAGTTTCTGTGTCTCCACTTAACAAGACCAGATCACCCGTATAGCAGAGCACGGGTGTTGTCCCACCCAGATCCACCACTTTTTACTTTCACTTACCTATATATGTAATATATAGTAAGGGTAAGTATTGCGATCATGAAAATTTTTTAATCTGAGTTTTCAACGGAAATACACGTTTTGAGGTCCCCTGAGTCGAAATAACCAAGTCCTGCAAAATGGTCTGTGTGTGTGTGTGTGTGTGTGTGTTAACAGTCTAGCTCAAAAATGAAAAGTCGTATGGAAGTGAAATTGCATATTGAAGATTTTTATATGCTAGAGATGTTACAGCGACCTTTTCATCAAAATTGGCTAACCGGAAGTGGCACTTTATATAATGATTAAACACATTTTTACGATTATCTCGAAAACCGCTCTAACAATTTTGATTAAATTCATCATATTAGTGTTAAATTAAGCAGTTTTAAATAAAATGTGGTTATTATTCTGATTGATGTTCTCTAACAGGGCTTAAATGGCTAATTTTCAATATTAGCTTCCTCTAAAGTACCTTTAATTGAAACGATTGACTATTTCACATTAATTTCTAATATGAAAAATGGTTAAATATAAAATATGAAAGAATTTGATAAATAACTAAAGGAGAAATAAGAAATCGTAACGGAGAATAGTTGTAATTGAGAAACCAAAGGAACACGCTTCCATACGTATCATGAGATTAATATAATATGGACTCCGACAATATTATATAAATATGCATATGTGGTTTTCATAAATGCTATTGTTGGTATTACTTAATATTTAATTTTATAGATTACAGCGATATAAATATTAAAATTTGTATATATGAGGGTATTTATACAAATAAAAATACCCACAATGAAATATAAATAAATATAGAGTCTATTTTTACTTTCAATTCGCTTTGTCTGAAAATACTTATTTCTGCTAAGAAGAGGATGGAAAGTAAAAGTCGTGTGATGCGTGCACCGCACTAGATTTTTCGGTATGCATTACCTCTCTAATGGCATGTTCTAATGCCAAATTGAATAGAACAGGCGAAAGGGAATCACCTTGTTTTAAACGCGAACAAAGCTCAAACTTTCCTGATAAATTATTACCGATTGTAACTTTATTGACTATTTTTGTCAAGCACATTCTGACGAGACTTACTAATTTTTTTGGAATACCCTGCTCGATTAGAATTGTAAGTATTTTTGAAATTGATATAAAGCTGGTGAACCATACCGTTGTACTCTAATTTTTTCTCAAATATTTGATCAATAGTCTAACGGTTCTGTCTAAATCCGCATTGGTAATCTCCAATAATTTCCTCGGCGTATTCTGTGATTCGACTAGTTAAGATTAAAGAGAAAATTGTATAACATATCAGAAGGAGTGAAATTTCTCAATAGTTATTATAATCCGTCCTCGGACCCTTTTTGTGAATCGGAAAAAGAATAGATTCTTTCCATTCTTCAGGTAATTTCTCATTCACCCAGATCTTTTTAACCAATAAATGTATTTCAGAAACTCCAGCTTCTCTGTATGCTTTAATTAGTTCTCTAGGAATATTATTGGTTCCCGTTGCTTTGTAATATTTTAATTTTCCGATAGCTACTTGGACCTCCTCTTTACTCGGTTCTTCTATTAATGGTTCAGCACTGTGGTACTCAGAAGGAGGACACATATAATAATTTCCTGTATTTAAAATACTGTTAAAGTGGTTTTTAAACTTATTTAATGTCTTATCGGATTGGTCAGAATATTGTTATTTTCATCCCTAATTCCAGATGTGAGGGGCCCTAAACATTTATCCCTTTGTATATGTCTCTTATGTTATTTTCTATTCTATTAGCTTCTATTTCAGTTATGTTCTTTTTAAGTTACTCCCTTTTTTATTTTTGAGCAAGTTAGTCATTTCTTTCTTTGAGGTTCTTTGAAGGTATTCAAGATTGTCTTTGCTAAGATTATTTAGACCTTTTTATTTAGCAATTTTCATCACACATGTTTAAACAAACTTCATCAAACTATGGTTTTATAATAGTACATTTTATTTATTTAAATTCATTAATAACTATTTATTGGGAAAGAAAATTATCTGTGAACGAAATGTAGGAAAAAATAAATATTTTGAGCGAACATTTAAACAATAGATTTGGGAAACATATTTAAAGGTTCATGGTACGGAATCTAATCCACTGGATACCAGAATATCTATTAAACAAACCAAAACACAAACAGAACTAAAAAGGAAATTTTTAGCTAGGTAAATTCTTTTTTATTTGTACACAAATCTCAACTCCCACAAACTTTATGGATCAAATACTTTGTGATTTGATAACCTACTATAAATCAGATAAATGTTCTCAGAATATGAGGAGCAGACTTCCTGCTATCCGTTATGGAGAAACCTTTTAATCGAAATCCTTGTAACAAGCCTGTCCTCATCTGCTATAGATAAAGTCTGTTATGTATAAGAAGTAATTTATACTATAGAATTATCGAAATCAGCAGGAATTTATAAATTTGTCTGCTATGGGAAAGTGTCAGCTATGAGAAGTTTCAATGTATACAAATATATAAATTATCATTGGAATCGACCAAAAGATCAAATTTTGATTATGATTATTAAATAAATAAACTTGAAACTCTAAGCGTATTCCCTTAAACAGGATAGGGTTATTTTTATAGTTGTGTATTTTTTAAATTTAATTATTTTTTATTTTAATACTTCAGTCCAGCAATACATTCAATTAAATAAACAATTCAAATTGTATATGCCAAATATTAAAAAAATGCTTGCACTTTTTACCTAAAAGTATCAGTTATCTCATTTCCATTCATTTGATCTCTTTTGGTAACCATGGATAGCCGCTGCAAATCTTCTTTATAATAATGTTCCTGATCTTTTCCAAATCTTTCCATCAATTTAATGGCTTGAGCTTCATGGCCATTATAAACCAATTCAAGATACATATGTACAAACACTGGATAGAGTATCATTCCAAGTTCATGCTGAAAACCAAAAAGATTATTTCAGACACCAATAATAACTTATCATACTAAATCATTCAATCAAAATATTATACAGGGTGTCCCATAAGTAGAGAGAAATTTTGATAGGAGTGATAGCAGACATCAAGACCTACAAAAGTCCATATAAACAATATATACATTTAAACAATATTAAACAATCCAATTTTCAGCAGAAAAGTAGGAAATCCAAGTTTTGTGTTTTTTTTTAAGAGAGTCTTGTTTACTTTTTTGTTGAACAGGAAGCGATAACTAAAGAAATATTTAATTTATGTAATTAACAATTACTTGACTGTAAACTAGACAAAATTTACTTTAATTGAAAAAAAAAGTTTTCATTATTAAAATCATTTAAAGAGGACATTTTAGTCGCTAAACTAAGCTAAGTTCTGTTTTCAATCAAATAATAAATTATTTGTGATTTTTTTTTATCATCATCCAACTATACTACAGTTACCCAACTTTCAGAAAACCTACCTCGTTTAATAAGGTTTAAGTTTATATTAATTAAATTGAGGTTTATTAGGCAAATACTTGAGATTCACCTCAAGTTGTGTAAAGAAGTGATGTGATTTTCTATCTAGTCTGCTAAAAGTACTTGTGTTTTCAGCAAAAATGACTACAAACTGTTGATTAACTGTTAAAAAGCTTTTATTTCTTGTTTTTCTATGATTTGGAGTGTATTCTAACAAAAAAATGCCATACAGACAAAAAATTTTTATTCGTTTTTCGAATTCTATGCATCCTGAAACGTGGAACCACAAATTTCGAGAGGGAGTTAAGTTTTTTAATTTTTTGGCCGATCACAATGGTTATTCATTGAAAATAAATAAATAAAAAAATATTTAAAAATCGCGATATCTCTACTAATAGTGCTTTGATTTTGATGAAACTTCCTTAATTTTTTAGGAAATTTAAATACCTTTGAAACATCTTATCACAATATCGACAAAAAAGTGTAAACTTTTTGAGTTATTCAGAATTTAATATTACCATCCCTCGTAACTTTCTTTTTAGCTTCTTTTCATTGAAGTATATTATATAGGTAAATTTAAAGGGTGTCGAGAAAATGACTTTAGCGAAGTTTCATAGAAATCAGTACTTTCGTTTAGGAACTAGTCTATAGCAATGCAGGTTTTTCGGCCGCCATTTTGAAAGTAAAAGGCGGATAGTAATGGCGATGAAGGAGGATCATCCTCGGGCGATCTCTGATTTTATATCCAAATTAGAATAAAATCAGTTCAGTAGTTTCAGAGAAAATGCGCGGACGGAAAAAAAATTTTTTATTCGTTTTTCGAATTCTACGCATCCTTAAACACGATAATTACCTAAATACACATTTTATTTATAAAAATCAAAAAGTAAAATGACGATATTTCAAATATTTTTCATGTAAAGTGGTTACGACATAGTGATTTTCTTCCAGATTTCTGTCATAAGAATTGATCCGCATTTATCTGTGACAAACATAATGTTTTTAGTCCTAAAATTTACTTTTCGTATAAAGAAACCTACTGAATGCTTTAATTATTTTCATGAAAACGTAAATATTAGGGCTAGAAACATTAAGGTTGTCACTTATAGATACGGATCAACTCCTGTGACAGAGATCTGGAAGAAAAATACAATTCGTAACCATCTTACATGAAAATAATTTTAAAATCATTATTTTAAATTTCATTATTTTATAAATAAAATATATATTTAGGAAATTATTTTTATTAGAATGCATCTCAGATCATGGAAAAACAAGAAATAAAAGCTTTTTAACAGTTAATCAACGGTTTGTAGTCATTTTTATATAAAACACAAGTACTTTTAGAAGACTAGATAGAAAATCACCATTTCTTTACACAACTTGAGGTGAATCTTAAGTTTTTTCCTAATAAACCTCAATTTAATTAATATAAACGGGATAATTTTTCTAAAAGTGAGGTAACTGTAGTATAGTATAGTATAGTTAGATGATAATAAAAAAATTGCGAACAATTTATGAATTTTTAAAAAACAGAACTTAGCTCAGTTTAGCAGCTAAAATGTCCTCTTTAAATGGTTTTAATAATGACAAACTCTCTTATCAACTAAAGTAAATTTTGTCTAGTTTACAGTAAAGTAATTATTAATAACTTAAATTAAATATTTCTTTAGTTATCGCTTCCTGTTCAACAAAGAACATGACTCTCTTAAAAAACCACTAAACTTGGATTTCCTACTTTTCTGCTGAAAATTGGCATTGTTTATATGAACACTTTCGTAGGTCTTGAGGTCTGTTATCATTCCTATCAAAATTTCCCTCCACTTATGGGACACCCTTTATATCTTAATAGGTTATGTAATTTTCCTAAAAAGTAAGTTACTATACCTTAAAAGCATCCAAGGAAGAATCAACAAATTTTTTCAAGTCCATATATGCATCTTCATATAAATCAGGATTTCCTTCAGACTTGTAAGTTGATAGGACACTACTTACTTCTGAGTCAGACCCTTGTGTTGTAGGGACATCAGAAACTTTAGCTTCTTTTTTTAACTGTTCCTCTGTTTCCTAAAAGTCATTAAATGACTCATTAAAAAAAGCAATTTTGGTTTTTAAATCATATCATATACACTAAATGAATTTAAAAAAAAAAGGGCAGAAAATTTATATTCAACTACTAGAAGTTCTTTTAAATAACAAAATCCAAATCATTAATGCCCACTTTAATAAATTAAATATCAATTAAGATTCAATCAACAAATCTTTTGGCTGATAAGTGATTAGAAAAGATAATGGTGAAGACAGAGTAATGTTTAAAGCAGTATACAATATTATAATAAAAATAAGTTTTATCGCCAGATAGCAAGCCCAGCTTTACTGAGACCAAGCCTTTATAACGGACCACACTATTCCGCACAACAACCCAGATAATTTATTCATTTCAAAACAAGAGAAGCATGTAAAGACTATCGAAATTGGGATACAATCGGATGATAGTCTTCATAAGATGGCAGCTGAAAAAATACACAAGTATCAGGCTCTTGGTGAGGAACTGAAACTTGATAAAGTGAGGGTTGAGGCATTGGTAATTTCTAGCTAACAGTTTGATCCTAGACACAACAGTGAACTCCATGAAGGACTTAGACCTCTCAATGAAATGCTTAGAACAAATACAGAAAGCGATGTTGCTGGGAACTGCGAGCATCGTTAAAAAATTTATCAATTTTACAGAATAAATATAAATAAAGTAGCCTAACCCTTGACTTAGATCCGGGTTATGTATCTTTACAGGTGAATGCTGATATAAGAAATGTTTTTTGATAATATTAATAGTAATAACAGTTTTATTTACATTCTTTACAGAACTAGAAGTTTTTCCCTTGGGAGGTATGAGTCTGGTTATTTGCTAAAATTTTCTAATTGGGCTATTCAGTATTATAAACTTTCATCTGATAAGGTCCTAAGAAATACTCCGATAAAATTTTTCCTCAAATTTCCTGCTAAGACTTGTAATTAAATCTGGAAAGATTATTCAGCACAGACTTGCACTGTTATAAAAATAATTTATTTACTATTGAAAAATATTTATTTGTTATGAAAAATAATTTATGGGTATTATTGTACAAATGCCACTCCATAGATCATCCCATAGATGGAATCAGGAGAATGGCCGAGTGTGTGACCGTATCTTCTGGTGATGTCCGACCTCCAGTGAAAAAAACCCATTGGGGATTGGTTTATTCCTTTTGAGCGAGTGAGAGTCAAAGGCAGCGATATAATTAAAACTAATTTATGCCCTGATTTTAACTCAAAAGGACCTGTCAGGAATAGATCATAAATCCAAATCTAAATAATAGGAGATTATACTGACAAGTCAATCTTCGGAATCCCATTTACAGCATGATCAAAGATTTTGGCCCACTCAGTAAAGTGGAGAGACATTTGTAAAGTCTATCAGACTACTGATTTTTTATTTCCACAGAAGAATTGTTGATGATTTTCTTGAACCTGCATTTCAGCTACAGCATACATAATCAGCAAAAGGTTTTTGCTCTCTAAGAGAGACCCCAACGCTGAAATACCAAATATTCCTTTGTTAATAGCCAATGTTGTTAGTTCTAAATAAACTCCTTCTACTATTAACCCCTCCACTTCCCCAAGAACATTCAAAATCTTCCTAGCTCCCCTCCCTCTCAGGACAAATTAAGCAATGTTTAAAGTTCACTCTCAAGAATATCTTTCTCATATCTAAAAATAATTTGATTTTTTAACTGTTTGATATAGAAATGTCACATCATTAGTAAACAATAACAGAATTAATGTGTAGGCAGCATAAATCATTTCAAAATAAACTATCTTGATGGACATAAGAACTAGTGTAGTAAATAAATACAATAAAAACTTAGGGCTCTTATCAATCAATCAATATGATGTTGCATGATAGTATAACATTAATAATAACACTAAAAAACACCCAAAGTTTAAAAACCTCTAATAATAGTTATACTTACATTACATTCTATTCCTCACTACATGTATTTATATCAAAGTATGCACTAGGAGAGACCCATAAGCTAAAAGACTTGTAAAATGTTTCCAACAACTAATATAATGAATTCACTACTTGCCTGTGTAGTTGTGAATAATACATATAACTTACAAGAACAAACAAAAACATTTTATATCTACTTTAAATGATAAACAACTGATTACGCACTTTGAGATTATATTTCCGTAGGACTTGGAGAACAGCAAGTAATGTGGTTCTGTCAGGAGTTTCGACAGAATCAGGTTCTGTCTTAATCTGAACACTTGACAAATGCGAGATATCCTGAGCTGTTGATTCCATCTTATACAAACTTTATGATGCTTTACAGATTTATTGAAAGTTTCATTTAAAAATTAAACTGCTTTAATTGACTTGTTTTACACCACTATGGTTACTGTCACTAGTACAATCTAATATAAACACATTTAAATTAGAGCCATATACACTTATAACAAATCAATTCTTGATAGTCACACACAATTATTATCTCAACATAAGAATAAATTAAATATATTTATAATTCCTATAATCACAAGTATGAACCACAACAATTAACCCAGAACTAATCAAAATACAAGGTTCAAACAAACTAGAGGGTTTGGTAACCTCAAGTAGGTTACAATTAATGCTTCATTAATTAGATATTTTTTATGTATATATTTTAATAAAAAACACACTAAAGTGCATTATGTATTAATTATTATTAAAGAAAGTATTTTAAAATTTTATAAGTTCACTTTAATGTAGGGCATACAACGAATAATAATTTAAAAAAAAAACAAATGACTTAATAAGTCCTTAAATATTCATTTAAAGGATATACAATAATATGTAGATGTAAGAATCTTTTCCTGAGAGTAGTTTTAGGGATCGCTCGAAATTATATATAAGTAGTGCCTGAAGCGCTTTTCTTATCTAAGTTTCGGTGTCGGTCTTTTTCAAGGAGACCTACGGTACGACAGGTTTTACCATGGCTGCTTGTAGGTTATTTGGTGTTTTAGGAGAGATTTCTAGAAACAATATAAAATTTATTTCAGCAGCAGGTACGTGCACTAAAGTATCTAAAAGTAAAATATTATTAAATCTGAAATTTAGCTCCACAAAGTAAATTTATGATTTGACATAGATATTGTTGAAATAGTATTATCACTGCCTAGTTCTAATTTCTATGTTTATTTTTACAATGCTATTTTTCAATTCTGAAACTTTTCATAATAACGTTGATTATTTACTGTCCTTTTATATTGATTTTTCTCCTTCCAGTCAAGTGGTATGACACAGCAATTAAGATTAGAAAATTGGGTTTTATCATTAATTGTATTAGTTAATTATTATAATTTTCCTGCATAGTACAAAATTGCTATGTACCTCAATAGTTATCTCTTCAAGGTAAGGATTGCTTTTCTATTTTAGGACTTAAGTGCTTATCAGTGGTCATGAGTTCTGTGTTACATCTATCTATTCCAATTTTATTATGCTCATATGTTATTTTATCAAACAGTAAAAGTTATTTCTGCCATTTATTTACACCATTCCTCCCATATTTTAAAATAATCTTATTCTTAAAAATTTAAGTATATTTTGATTAATATTGTCATTTATTATATTATTTCAGTAACCCCATTTGCTATGAATCTACATTGAACAAATTCCTATAATCCACATAAATCTCATTTCTAAAACTCTGGCTTATAATTGTTTTTTTTTTTTAATATATCTGTAATGATATGTTCATTAATTTAATTAATTATGGTTTTGTCAATTTATATTTCTAGAATTTGTCATCTTGACCTTTATTTAGTTATATCACAAGATTATCTAAGCTCTAGAAAGCAAGAACTATCATTCCCTTTTTTTTTACCTTCTAATGTCAAAAAAATTTGTAAGCTATACTCAACAATCTACAACTACAATGATTTATTGATGGGTTTGATAAGATAATTAAACTTTTGGTTATTTTAATTAATAACTGTTTAATGTGTTTTGTTTTTAATCTATATTAAACATTTTAATTTTCCCCCATATTCTGCTGTTTAATTGCTTATTTTTTTTATTACTCTTTAAATTTTTTAAATTTATATTATTGTTTGTTAATATTGAAAATTTTGGTGATATTTAAATATTGTAAATTTATTATGAATATTTTTACCTTAGGATGGTGTACTCTTAATTTTTAAAGAATAATTTATAATTAATAAGTATTGAGAATTTTTATTTATTTAAAAACTTATTGGCTTTAAGTAATGGCTTTTCTTTTACTTCAAATACCCTCTGGCTCCTATCCAGTACTATTTTAAATTACTACTATTGAATCAGGACTTTCATTGAGAGTATTTAAGACTTACCAGTTCTGAGTTATTTTCTTTTTGTAATAGGCCTGAATTAGTTACATTGTGTAGTAGCTGTATTATTTGCTTTAGTTAGATTTGTGAGTACCAGGAAAAAATGGTTTCATGTTGATCCTTTTTTAATCTTCAGGATTGTTAAGCTTTTTCTTCCCCAATAGATTTCTTCTCTTCCCAATTTTCTTTCTAAATCTTTTTGACAGTTATTAAACTGTCAATATCTGTCTTTTAACTTAAATTAAACTGATTATTCTTCTCAGGAGAAAGTTAAAATAAAAGAAGATTAGAAGTTAGTGTAGTTATTTATTGTTTAAATAAATTTGATAGAGTGTCGGCTCTTATCTAATCAGTATGAGTTATTTATTGAATATTATTGTCATTGCAATGTTAGTTAAATGTGCTGTTGCTTTCTTTTACGCTTGGGTCTTATACTTTACACTGAAATTGAAAAAGTAGCTGCAACCCATTAAATGCGTCAGGATCTATTGCTAGTGATGCTTCTTCCAGTAAAAATGAGATATCTATATTTTCATAATAACACCCTTGGTTGCATTAAAAAAAAAGCATTTTAGTGTTCTAAACAATCTTCTACTGGGTCCAAGGAACTCCAAGTTACGATGTTAATTTTATTTTTCTATCAATGAAGAGTTTGTAAATTATATATACTTTTTTTTTTAGGATCATCAAAATGGAGATTATACTCTACAGCGCCAAAACACACAAGAACAAAAATAGTCAACGATGTTGCAGTCATTACCTTAGATTCTCCAAATGTCAAGGTATGTAAAAAATATCATGAATTTTGTTTTAAATTTTGAATTGGGAAATATTGAACAAACAATTTATTATTTTAATCATGATGTAGAGATGATTGACTGTGATATAATATGAGAAGGAGTCTGCCGGGGGTGCGGTCAAATAAATACTAAATTTTTAAAATAGTTAATTTTTTTTTTTATTTAGTTTGAGCCAATGATGTTTAATTATTTAAGATGGATCCTATACCTCATTTATATTTCTTCATCCAAAACTGACCATGCAGTAATTATGTACTTATTGTTATCCACTTATGTAGTTTTTTAAACAGACCTAAAAATTTATTTTCTTTTGGATGACCCACCCTATTTTCCAAATCAGTTCTAGTATGTAGTTTTATTTTAGTAATTATTCTGTAAACCTTTTTTTCCTATTTGTATTTTATACTTTAGAGTATTTAGTATTTCAATAAATATTAAAGGTTTCTGTAGGATTGAGAATTTATTAATTATTAACATGTTGTCCATTGAATTGTTGGTATTCGTGTTTGAAAAATCAAATTAATTTAATCATATATTAAGGCAAGTAAACATGCCTAAAGATTTATTTTTTGGCTGGTACTCGATGTGTTAAGATTGATTATGGAATTAAACATGATTTTTTCCTGCCAGGTGGTATCCATCATACTGTTTACTCTTTATTTGATTAAGTAATGTTTGTTAACAAGTACAATGGCTCCCATTCAAGTAGTTTTATTTTTATAACTATTCAATAAATCTTACTATTCTCTCGATTAAAACAAAACATTAAACCTTCTTTTTCTATTCTTATTTTATGATATTTAATATAAAATCTTTGTATTCATGTTTCAAAGGTCAAATTAATTTAATACTTATTAATTAACTTTATATATTAGTATATTTAATATATATTACTGCAAGTAAACATGTTAAGATTTGTTTTTTAGCTGCCACTCATCATGTTGATATTGATTATGCGAATTAAAAATTAATTTTTCCTGCCAGATTGTATCAGTTATACCTTTTCTCTTTCTTTGATAAGGCAATAGCTTTTAAAAAGCTGTTTTATTTTTAGTCCAAAGCATTTGGTTCAATTTTTAATAATCTTCTTTTAATTTAATTTAAAAATACAAAGCTCAGAGTTAAATGAAGTGTATTTTTTAGAAGATCAGTGCATTATTAATATTTAAATAAGTTGCAGCCAGAGGTTCCTGTATTACCTACATTTCTCATGATTGCTTACTCCAAGGGGTCAAAAATTATTCTTCCCTCCCCATAAAAGTTTGAAAGCTTTCAATATATATATTATTTTATTTTTGTTAAATTTTATTTAAAACTTTTGATATATGTTCAATTAAGTCCATTGAAAGTTTCTTTATATTTTTGTGAAATAGTCTTTCAGTAAAACGTAGATCACTCATTTATCTATCACTACAGTACAACTTAAAAAATCTAGTGTGTCCACTCGCACGGCTTTCCTACCTATTTCAGAAAAGTTTTTTTATCTTTAATATGTCCAATAAGAAAGAAAGAAAAAAAATGGAATTAAATTTATTTTCTGGAAAATTGATCGAAGAAAAGATTTGATTATGATTACTTTGATAAACCAAAGAAATGTAAAACGGCTTGGGGAAGATCAGCATAAAAAATTCAATACACTCGTAATATTGCTAACCAAAAACTTTTTTAACTTAGCCCAATTTCGTCAGATAATAATTTGTGTTTAAAGTAGAGTGGAAAGTGGAACTTGTGCGATGTGGGTAACAAATATTCTTACTTTCCTTTTTTCTCTCTTTCACCCCCTTCTGTCGCCAGGATATGAGCCCGTAATCTTACATACGAAATTGATTAGCTATAACTTTGTTAATAGTTGTCTGAAATGATTTTTATATAGTTTTTTAGAGAACTTCATTACTTTTCGAAAAAAACTGGCTAAACAGTGTTTTTCAGACTCATGGGGCTCTGAAACAATTTTTCAATTACGTTTGCATCACCTAAAATTATTTTTATGGAGTTTCACAGTAGTTTATCTTAAACCCATTCAAGTTATCATAAAATTCTCATTTGACTTCATCGTCACTGTCCTCAGTCGGACAATGTATGTTTATTAACACGTTTTAAAACCAATGTCCCTGAAATATGGCTACTGAAATTCTATCACTAAAGAATTGTACTTCCATCAAAGCAGATAGCAATCTATTCCTAATTAGAAATCCGGTACCTATAAATAATGATTCCCACTTCCTCCATACCAAAGAGTGTACTTTCCTTCTCTTATCAAGCCCTATCCTGGCCAGCGAACCTCTTGCAGAGTCATGATATCCAAATTGTACCCATGAACACCATTCGCCACTGATTTCAACTTCAACCCACCTGCTGAATTCAAACTCCTTACGTTCCTCCTACCACTACTTAAATCCCTATTTTTGAACTTGTGCCATGAATCCTCTAAAGCAGTCCCCATCTGGAGACCCAAACGAGGGACTAGTTTACCTCGGGATAATGAGCGTTTTACCTTAGGAGATCCATGACTTTATTTTTGTTTTATGATGAACTAAAGATACATGAGTAGGGCGTTCAATCCTACGTCACACCCTCCAGCAAGTCTGGAGGACCCCTCTCATTGTTGTTCTGCGTGTCCATAGGAACTTCCAAGGAATTTCCGCTGACCATCCCCACATCCGCCACTCGTGTGACGCTCTCCAAAAGGCGGTAATAAGCTGGCACGAGGCTTGAAAACTGTGATAAGCAAATAATCTAACAACAATTAAATAACCAACTCATATAACATAACCTCACCTAACCTTAGAAGTATTGCTTTTTTTAAAAGAACTATATTTTCAAAGGCTGGGAGGGGGAGACATTAGTTCAAATATAGATGTTAGTTGGCCCTTGGGATGTCACCTTATACTATGGATAACTAATCATAATTACTGCAAAAAAATTATATTTTTATATTTATTTAAAAATAATTAATAAATATTTAAAAAATTAAAAATAGAGTGCTGAGATTGCATGAACTTGTTAGTTGCAAGTTCTGGATACTAGAGATGACTACCCTGGATGAAAACCATTAGTCCATGCCATCCACATCCTTCCCACCATCCTTTACCCACTGAATTCCTCAATCTCTACTGCTGTGAATATCACATTTTGTTTATAAGTTTGAAGTCTAGCGAGATATATTTTTATGGATCTAATGTTGTTTATGCAGTGTTCTGCTTCAATTCATGTTCAAAATTTTAACCAATCTAGTTCATTACTGAACTCAATTTTATTCAGTGTGTCTGTGTAACAATGCCATAAAAAAAGTCTGAGAAATGCATTATATGCAAAATATGGGACTTCTGCACTGAATCTGCTGTTACATATTAAATATCTATGAGTTATTTCTTTGTTCGATATTGTATTTTATTACTTTTTTTTTATAAAAAAATAAAATTTCATTTACTTATGTTATCGGGGTGGATCAGTGGTATGGTACTGAGAGCTTCCTATGATAAAGGTCCCAGGTTCGAATCCCGGCTCATGGCAGAAAAATTATTTATTCTGTTTCATTGGCTGTGGGGCGACCCTGGGTAGTTAGGGGCAAACCCAGCCTTTATAAAGTGGGTACCCTTAATTAAAATAATTGATTAAGAGAGAAAACCTGGCGGTTGAGCGTGATCTTGGTCAAATCACCTTCTTGCATAACTGTAGACCAAGAAACAGTGCTTTCCCTAAATAGTACTGAACCCAAGACCCTTCATGCGTTGTTGTGGTACAGGTATATTATACAGATCCAATTTAATTCTAAAATTAGTACTTTTTTTTATCCAGTAGTTTGAGGATTAGGGCTATTATTTATTTTCTTCTCTTTTTAGCTCATTATTTTTAAAATATGAACAACATTTTATTCTATGTACTCAATCTTTTTATGTATACATTTTTCATACTTGTTTATTAACTAATACCACTTTAATCGATATAACTTCAGTTATTTTTACTATTATTTATGTTTATTTTTTCATAGGTGAATTCTTTAAATGCCGAAGTTGTTTCGGAACTGGAATTAGCAATAAACAAAGTACGGGATGATCCAGCTTTGCGAGCCGCTGTATTAATATCTGGTAAACCTGGCTGTTTTATTGCTGGAGCAGATATAAGTATGCTAGAGAAATGTAAGACTCAAGAAGAAGTAAGAGAAATTTCACAAACTGGTCAAAGAATATTAAAAGGAGTAGAAACAATGAAAAAGCCTGTTGTTGCCGCCATCATGGGTGCTTGTCTTGGAGGAGGACTTGAAGTTAGTTATTACCTTAAGTAGTTCTTAGTAGAAAAAATCATTAGTAATATAGTTTACTAATTTTAACTATTGGCAAAATCAGATGTTTGATTTATTATTTTTTTAAATAGTTAATAATTATTTTGTATATATATTTAATATTTTTCAAATATTGAGTAGTTTGTGTATTTGCTATCTTTTATGTTTGAGAAATTAAGGAAAGGTGGTTTTCTTATTAAAACCACAAAAGAGATTTACTAAAATTTTAAAGTAGGAAGCAGTGGCAAATAGGAAGTGTCTGTTTATAGAAATAAATTATGCAATGCTGTACTTGTGGCTGACTATAAAAGTGGTCACTTTCACTTTTTTGAAAACTTTCTTACCTTACTTTTTTATCATCTATTTAGGCTCTCTTTATCTTGTAAGTCATGTTATCCAAGTTCTTGAAATATTCATTAATTTTGAGATTAGAAAAAAAATTAATTTAATTTTTAAACAGTTACAGTTTAATTTAAAAAATGAATAGTAATTTCTTCTTTATTATTAAACCACTACAAATAATACAGTAGAATAGAACAATTTTACTGGCTCTGGAGAGTGATGAATTCGATATTGACAAACAAGTTGTCAAAAGAAGAATTTCTTGGAGAAATAATAGTTTCAATTTCAATCCTTAAATTATCAGTATGAATTTACCAAAATTGATTAAAATATGTATTTAATTGGTATCAGTACCCTGATGATAGTGTATTGGCAAATCGAGACTCAGGTTTTAAAGATTTTGAGTTGTTGATCAAGACTCTGTCAAGACATTTCTATATTAAAGCCTTGAAAATTTACTGTTTTCAAGATAATGCGTGGGACAATCCTAATTCTAGCAATAGTCTCTTAACTGTCTTAGGATTGCTTGGATAACATGGAAAGAAATTGTTGATATTTTAATTTTATTGAATTATATTATATTTCCTTTTTGAACACGTGAAAGAACTGCAAATTAAGGATACTGTTCTTTTGCAGCAACAAAATAGGTCTCAATGTTGGGTTTGTAAAAATGTATGGGTAGCTGAATCATATTGCTTAGCTGTTTTACTAAAGGGATGTTTTATAGTGAGGCAATCTAATTACTTATTTAGTGAATTGTTATTTAAATAGTTGTACAAAGTATGTTCATAAGATTTTATATTTAGAACATATTTATTCCTATATTGTTTGTAGGAATAAACATGTTTTCTCTAATATTGCATCGCTTATGCTTTGAATTAGAGAAAATGATAGTTATCTAATGTGAGAGTTCTCGCTTGGTTCTACTAACCGATATGTACATTGGCTAATCTTCTAATTTATGTACATATTAGTGAATATTTTTTATATATCGTAGGATATGGAAGAAGAAAAAATTAGAGTTTTAATTTAATTCCATACCGCGTGGGCGGCTCACCTTGTGTTCTGGCTGACAGCTATCTGTTGTTGTGCTATAGAACAAAGCTAATCCATACTGTTGGTGGTAGATCAGCTCTTTTAGTTATTGTTTGGTTTTTAGATAATATGGGTCCAATTATTAAAATTCCTGGTGCCAAAAATTTTGAGTATTATCTCTTTCGTTCTGGTTGTACAATATATATTGTATGCATACTTAAGTGAAGTTTTAAATTGGAAGATTTTTTTCAAAAGTCAAAAAGTTTGTTAAAAATTGAAAAAGCAGATTATAAATTAAAGCGCCTATGAACAGTAGGGTGAAACTATGATTATCATTCCTATGAATCATTTGCCTTTTTCATTATTAAGCCTAATTTCTATAGAAATTTGTTCTAATTTTCAACGTTGATTGCTTACAGGGCTGGGTGGCCAAATAAGCTTACCTGTGTGCGCTGCACCGCCGTTCCCTGGCAACCTGGTATATAGAATACTGATAAAAAATAGTCATGAGTTTGCCTCCCGGTGACAGGGGAGTCTTTTAAATCTCTGTCCTCATCTCCTAGCCCGGGAAATCCCCATATAGCCTTAAAGGCTAGGAAGGGGAGAACCAAAAAAAAAATAAAAATTTGATAATATATATATATATATACATATATGTATGATTGCTTATAATATTCGTTCCTACACATAAACATTAATTGGCATTTGTAAATCTAATTTTCAAATCAAATCCCCATTTTCTTTCTACTGAAATTGAAATAGGTAAAATGTTTTCTGAACTACTTGAATATAGTGATTTTTAAATATAAAATAGCTTTGTATGTACTTAATTGTTGATATCATACTCTAAAATCATTAAACAGTTTTTGAGAGGAACAAATGAATTGAAAACCTCTCATTAGATTTTCAATATTATTAAAATATGTTAATTTCAAATGATCCTTTCTTGCAGGTGGCATTGGCTTGCCATTACCGAATAGCAGTTAAGGAAAAGAAAACTTCACTTGGTCTTCCTGAAGTAATGCTTGGCCTGTTGCCTGGTAGCGGTGGCACTATGAGGCTTCCTCAACTGACCTCAATACCAACAGCACTCGACCTGGAACTGACTGGAAAGAGTGTCAGAGCTGATAAAGCCAAAAAACTTGGAATGGTTGATCTTCTCATCGAGCCATTAGGACCTGGCTTGACTCCTGCTGAAGAAAGGTTATTCTTTTTATTTGTTTTGTCTCCTTTTAATAGTTCATTTTAGTTATTTATTTTATTTGGTTATAGCATATTATTTAGAATGTAAAACGTTCCCATGATTACTTATTAAGGTAATATCATAAGATCTTTATATTGGAAAACTTTGGTTTTCCCATTATTAATTTTATATTCGTTACTGACCTTTTATTGTAAGGTTATTTCAAAAGTTGAAGCTTAAGGTCAGCATACTCTTGTTAAATTACAGTGGTTCAAATAATTCAAAAGTGGCAATTTTGATGTGAGAAATGAAAAATGTGAAAGACCACCGAAAAAGGGTGATATAGTATGAGCTAAAACCTGGCAAAACCATTAATACTGATTACTGTGGACAAAAAATGATTGATTTAAAATATGATTTTGCTTCATAATAATGTACCATCACATATGACAAAACCAGTTAAGGAAGGAATTGAGGCATTCATCTTAGCTCATGTGACATACATGGCTCCATCCGACTACTATTTATTTGCATCGATGGGGCATGCACTTAGTTACCAGTTTCACTTCTTATGAAAACATACAGAAATGGCATGATGACTGGTTCACCACCACTGAGCTACAGTTTTTCAGTATGGAATTCATAAATTTGTCGTCAGAGATTGAAAAAATGTAAAACTAGGGATGGGCAATAATATTTAACATTTTTTTGTTATAAACTTATAATTTCTTCACAAAAATTCTGGCAATTAGTTATCGTCGACAAGTAATTGTAATTAAAAGCTTCTGAGGAAAAAGTTAAAGGAGTAATAGCAAACTTCAATTACTTTGGTTGTAATTGAAGATTAATTATATATCCGTGTAATTAATTAGTTTCTAACATTGACATATGGTTTCTATAAGCTTAAGAAAAATAGTAATACTATGAATACCAAAGACGAATGATACTATTTTTTACTATGATAATACTATGGCCACTTAACCGATATCTGGGTTTATGAGGGCCCTGTCACAGAGATATATTTCAAATTCTGAATAGTGATTATTTTATATTGACTATTAAGTATTGATATAATCAAATTAAAATTTAAATTATTTTTGTAGAATATATGATTATAAAATTATTTTTGAGAAAAAAAAAACATGTCTTATAATTTATCCTTCTATACAATGGTAGGTTTCAAGAAAAAAAAGTATGTAACTTTAATCTAGTATTTGAATTGATTGTTTTTTTAAATGCTGTGATTATTTGTTCAGAACTATGGAATACCTTGAAGAAGTGGCTGTTAACACAGCACGTCAACTAGCAACTGGGAAATTGAAAGTTGATAGAAGCAAGAAAAGTTTAGTGGATAAACTTATGAATATGGCTTTGAAATATGATTTTGTAAAAGACCAAATATTTAATAAAGCTAAAGGACAAGTTATGAAAATGACAGGAGGTCTTTATCCTGCACCCCTCAAGGTAAAAGGCATTAACATTTTATTTATCACAAATAAGTTTAAATTATTCTGTTTCACAAGCGCTTTATGAAGTCCAATTAATTTTTCCTCATTTTTTGTGATAAAAAATGTGTAGAAAAGAATAAAGGATGAATAGGGGAGTACTTATATATTTATTCCGTAGATTAATAAATCTAATTAAAATAAAATTAATATTAATTTTATTTTTAACAAGTTGACTGTCTAATTACAAAATAACTCATAGTTATTAAGTTTTATTTGGACAAAAACTACAAATTATCTGGTTCATGTGTTATATTTTAGCTGCTACAAAAAATTCAGCTATATATATTTTTTTTTACAATAATTATATTTTAAAATTAGACATTTTAATAATATAATAGTATTAAATTAAATCTTAAACAAAAATATAAAAGTTGGGTTTTTTTCACAGTTTTTCAAATTACAATTTTTAAAGGGTCTACAATTAAGGGGATATATATTGCAATATATAAAACTGTGAACGAAAGCGAGAATAAGGAGCTTTGACTGTATTAATCTATATTAAATTGAAAATATAAGAGAATTAATGTTACCCACACACAGCGGGCCAATCGCCGATCTAGGAGGACAAAAACAACTTTCGAAATATGAGAAATTTAATATATCATTCTTTTATAGATAGTTGATGACCTGAAAATTGGCCTCGTAAAATTTCAAAGTTCGTTTAAACTCTCACTGTAGAGTACGGAAAAGGGAGATTTGGATGAGCAGGCCTTTAGTCCCACCAGTTGACAAATAGTTTCAGGATGACTTTATTTATAGATTAAATCAGAGCCTGTGTGCATTATTGCTTAAGACTGCTTTTGATAATTCAGTTAATTATCTTTCTTTTTCAGTAGATTAATTTAGATTCAACCAGTTTCATGTTGGTTAGAATTACATTAAAAAAAAATTGCTTAAATCAATGTTAGGAATACATACATAACGTTTATATGGTCTGTAAAATGCCCTTTCGGGTATCCTTTTTTTTTTTTTTCATTTTGTAGCATTTTTCACTAAAGTTTTGAAATATATTTTGTTTTAATCTTATTAAAACGCTATTATGAATTATTTAATATAATTTATACAGGCTAGAAAGACAATTTTGCCCTGCTTACATTAAAAATAAATGAGCTTCAGAAAATGCTTCCTTTTTTTTTTTTTAGAAGAAATTTGTCATAGCTGAAGCATATTTTCTAGACCTGATAACAACTATCATTGTTCTCGAGGGAACAGGGAGACCGAATAGTATTTTTTTGGTTGCTTCGAAAACTAATCAGTGATGTAAAGCATAGGACATAATATAGTAGGTATGCCCAGAAGGAGTCTGTATGGCGTAAATTGCGTAGAAGAAATGTTGAGGGAACACATTTTTACGGGGTGGATTTTGGAGTGCATAGTTCAGAGATTTTATATTTTACCCATCAGGTAATAAACAGAATAGAAGCTCGCCATAAAGATTACTGTAAATATCGTGAATATAACACACAAAATAGGTCCTGCAAAGCCTCAAATAGAAAACTTCTTAATGTGTTTTTAGTTAGTTCTGACCCTCTAACTAACAGTTTTTGAACTACCACAAAAAAAACATTCTTCATCACTATCTGAATTATTGCTTTATGACTATGACGGACTTCAGTCAGAGAGCACCTTTTCTACAGATGTCGAAACTGAGGATGAAGAAATAAATTAAATTAATTCTTATACAATATTGTTCTTTTATTTATGTTAATGTGTTCTCTGAAAATACTTTTTTTGTTCTTCCCTACCTCGCCTTTTTAGGCTATACGGGATTTTCCCGGGCCGGGGGGTGAGGGCGGGGAATTTAAAATCCTCTCCGCCACCGGGACGCGAACTCGTACTTTTTATATCATCTCAAATCTCTGTTATCGGGTTGCCAGGCAACTAGCGGTGCTGTTACACACGCTTTAGCCTATTCGGCCACCCCGCCCCCTCTCTGAAAATACTTATATATTTTTTAAATTAATGTTATATTAAGTAGTTTAAACGATTAAAGTCTTATTTTTTATTCATTTTGACTAATACATGATTCCCAATGCAGTTTAGGACTTCAGTGGGAGTCTTGTGGCGACAAAAGAAAAACAAACAAAAAAATTGATTTCCAATCGAAAATTATGGTTTTATATATAGTAATTTTTTTTTAATTTTTAGAAAATATATATATTTTTACCATAAATTAATGTTGTGTTATGCAATTTTAACCACTAAAGTATTTTTTAAAATTTATTTTTGACAAATAAATGATTTCCAATAAAAAATTATGGTCATGATATATAGTAATTGTTTTTTCACTATTTCTTAAAAAAAAATCTGAGAATTTTTTTTGTTTGTATTATTACTATAAATTAATGTTATATTAAATAAATTTGAACCATAAAAGTCTTATTTATATTTATTTGTGACAAATACATGATATCCTGTCGAAAATTATGATCAAAGAATTTCGTCCTCCTAGATCGGTCATCGACCCCACTGTGCTACAGTTGTACCATATTAATATATTATACCATAAAATGTGTGTACTTGGATAGTAATTACATGGCAATCCGGTCTCTATTAATCACTGCCTAGGCAAATTTTCGAGAATTTTCTTAGTATGTATGTATATCTACTCTTCCTGTTGTTATTTATTGAGAATCTCTCTTTTATAAAGACAGAGTGACAATAGGTATTTAGATGCAGTGTCTCTTTTCAATCATTATATTTGATAATAAACAGCAAACAATATACTATTACAACTAATGTTTCCCTTACATCTAAGAGGAGAAGCTGCAAGGAGAGAACTCCAAAAGTAAAAAATAACCGAACTCTTAATAGAAAAATCTAAAAAAAATTATTAATGGTCAAAATTTTGTTGACAGCAGGTGAATTATCTGGAAAAGTTGATTGGAGTCCTAGTCTAAAGTGAAAGTATGCATCCAAAAAAGATATTTATTGTTTGTTGTTTACTGTTACTGTTGACTGTACTCCCGACCCACTTTTACTTAAAAGATAATTTAATAAAAAATTATTTTTATATGTACAAATTTAATGTTTTCCTATAGGTTTACACACATATATTTAGTTTATAAATTTATATGTATAAATTAAGTTTAATCTTTTCTTTTAAGCAGATTTCCTGAACAGTTTCGATAATCTGATTTTTATTTTTAAGATCCTCGACGTAATCAGAACAGGCATTGATAAAGGTGAAGAAGCGGGCTATAAAGCTGAATCTGAAGGATTTGCCGAATTGGCCATGACTCCACAGAGTAAAGGCTTAGTCGGGCTCTTCAGGGGCCAGACAGAATGTAAGAAGAACAGATTTGGAAAACCAGAGAAGAAAGTTCAGTTAGTAATCTTCATTTTATTAGGAAAATATAATTTTATTTATTGAATCTCTTTACTGGTTTTTCTATGAATTATACTTTTCTGTTAGGACTTTGGCTATACTTGGTGCAGGTTTGATGGGTGCTGGTATTGCTCAAGTGACAGTAGACAAAAACATCAAGACTATTTTAAAAGATACTTCACAGCAAGGCCTCAACAGGGGTATAACCCAAATCACTAATGGATTCGATGGAGCAGTTAGAAGGAAAAGACTCTCAGCGTAATTATGATAATCATTATTTGCTAATTCATAAATACATACATTTATTAGTCAAATTTGATTTTTGTTTATGTTATTCTTAGGACTTATTTCTGTTTACAGTTTTGAAAGAGATCGTCACCTTGCCAACATGGAGTACACTCTATCCTATGACAGTTTTAAAAATTGTGATATGGTTGTTGAAGCTGTTTTTGAGGATTTAGGAGTAAAGCATAAAGTAATTAAAGAGATAGAAGCGGTTGTGCCTCCTCATTGTGTTGTTGCTACAAATACATCTGCTCTAGAAATAACCAAGATAGCATCAGTCAGCAAAAGACCAGAAAAAGTGAGTTATTGATTTCACGGAACGGTGATTTGTTAGCTTACATTAAAATATCTGATCTGCTCACTCACACAGCTTCCTTTATTGTTGAGGGTGCAAAATCCAATAATAAAGTTTTAAATGTGCCAGGAGATGGATGTATTATTTTTTAATCATTCAAAAACTAGTCCTAAGGAGAAAGTACCTGCACAAAATATATTTACGATGTTCAATAGGTTGCATCATTGCTAAAACTATTCCGATCTAGACTTTTTTTTGTAGAAACTTTAACTACCTTCCAAGTGATTATATTTTAAAAAATCCATAAAAAATTATCTGTGTGAATTAATGGCAAATATTTTTTTTCTTTATACATTTTTTCCTTAGGCCAAAATGTTAGTATACAATAAAATAAGGTTTCATATTTGTTATTTCATATATGATCGCCAATCTCCCCAAACCAACTTCTCTTACAAAAATAAATGAAGTATGAGACATTATTGGTTTAGTTTTCAATTTTTCATTCATATATCATTGTTCTAAAGAATCTCTTGTGGAATGGAGGCAGTATTAAATTAAGAAATTTAATACCAGAACATGTCTTTGTTAATTATTCAAATTAGAAAATATAAAGTGTAATCTCATGAAATATTAATATAACTAACTTAATCCCTCATCTCTCCAAGGCTCTGCGTATAATTAATGATTTTGTAATATCAAACATAATGAAGTAAATAAAAAAACTCATGTATTTTTAAATTATCCATTTTTCGTAAAAGAATTTTTAGATGTTTGTATACAAAATTGAATGATTATTTTGATCATTTCATGATATCCTTATAATTAATAACTATAAAAACGTTTTTTGATTTCTAGGTGATTGGTATGCATTATTTCTCACCTGTTGACAAGATGCAGCTGCTCGAGGTGATAACAACTGATAAGACTTCCCAAGACACGGCAGCTTCAGCAGTTGATGTTGGATTAAGGCAAGGAAAAGTAGTTATAACTGTGAAAGATGGTCCTGGTTTTTATACTACCAGAATTTTGGCTGCCATGTCATCTGAAGCTATGAGAATTCTCCAGGTATTCAATTCAATAAGCTTGTTTCATTTATATATTACTTAACAAGTAAATGAATCAAATATTAAATCAAAGTGAAATAAATATGTTATCATTTGATACTAGTCAAGTTGTGCTTAGGTTGTCATTTATAACTCTAAGCATACTGGTTGATTTCCTCTAAATCTTCATTAGAAACTTTTTTGTTTCAGGAAGGTGTAAACCCTAAAGATTTGGACAAATTATCAAAGAACTTTGGATGGCCAGTAGGTAGTGCTACTTTAATGGATGAAGTAGGTATCGATGTCGCTTCTCATATCAGTGCCAATCTCTTCACTGTTTTTGGAGAAAGATTTAGTGGTGGAAGCAAAGAATTGCTTAAAGAAATGTCTGATGCAGGATTCCTTGGTAATTTTTAAAATTTCATTTTTTATTTGACTTCCTCACTAATGAAGGGAGGGAAGTTTTTTATTGGTGCTGGAGGTTAAAAAAATTATTTATTCATAATCGAAATTTTCTATGTGCACTTTACGTTTTAGTCATCGAGAAACAAATTTGGTTCCGTGTCTGTCTGTAGTTAAATCCATGTTTCAGGCATATCAACTATTACCAATCATCCAATTTTATGCGATTGGTGCCCTAGATACATAAATATATTTTCTTGGATATGCCTCTATTTCTGATAAGGCTTGTTTGATTTGGTTCAAAGTTATGTATTGGTGAATAAATTATGAATAAATTTTCCAGAACTCCATCTATTACTTTCTCTAACATATGTCCATACAGATTTTCTCTGGTTTGGATACATCTTAAAAAAGGCATGTTCGATTTCGATTTAATTAGGAGAGGAAGGTACATATACTGTAATTATTATTCGAGACTCAATCATTGTGAAACTTTTTATTCCACCAGCCTATATACACCTGGGAAATCTTGAGGGCAAGTGCCTATAATTTGAAGTCCATAAGAACTCAGTTTGTTCAAGCGACACTCGTGTTTTGTTTATACTAAAATTGGGCTTGGACAGTAAAAATTATCATAATGACTGAGCCCTAACTGTTTATTATCTGTAGAAAGTCACTGTATAAAATATCAACATTCGTCTGATTTGCTGTTATCTACCATTCTGTTAAATATTAAGTGAACAACTGGCATGTCTATATTGGTTAATAGTTCAGGAAACCAAGGAAGCATGAAATTCATTGTAGCATTAGTGAAAACATATTAAAGGTATTCAGATAACTTGCAATAAGTGCTTAATGTGTTATGGTGCTAATGTACTAAGGGAATCGATTGATATAAATAATTTTCCTAATACCAATATGCCATATCGGCTTTTTTCCCTTTTCATTAAGGTTTCTGCAGTTTTACATGGAATATTCTACTTATTGCCAAATAAACAAACCATCTAAGGGTCGGCCTATACACAAATTTTGGCTGATAAAAGACCAATAAATCTAGATATCCTCATATAGGCCTTTCGTTTCTATTTGTCAAGTTCTGTACAATGTCTCTTAGAAATTTTTCCTACTGCAAATGTCAATCAATCATCTAGGATGAGATCCAATATTCCTAAAATTGATATATTGGCCTTTCGCCGTTATTTTTCTGGATTAGTAAAGTTTCACTTGAAAAATCCTGCCTATTGCTATTAAATATCGTCTAGGGATTGGACCTGTATAGAAACCTGAGCTGATACCGATATTCCGAAGACCCGTATATTGGCCTATTTGTTCGTATTTTATTTGGGCTAATAAAGTTTCACTTGGAAAGTTTTATTTATAACTTATACATTTTCCTATCAATTGTCTAGGGGTTGAAACTTGAACTGATACCAATATTCCTAAGACCGATATATCGGCATTATTTTATGTGTTAGTAAAGTTTCACATGAAACATTCTGCTTATTGCTAATAAATGGGTCAATCAATGGTCTAAGAATCTTCCTATTTAGAAAGTTTAGCTGACACTGAAATTCCTAAGCCGATATATTTTACCTTTCGGCCATATTTTATCTGGATTAGTGAAGTTCCACTTTGAAAATCCTCCTTATAACTTATAAATGTGCCAATCAGTTGTCTAAGGTTGTTGTCAAAAGGTTTTTCATCCTTTTGTTTAGATATTAAAAAAAAAAGTGTAATCGCTCCATAATTTATTTTTATTTCAAAATTTTTTGTATACACATCATTATATCATTATATTAATAATATAATGATGTGCCATACAATATAATATTGTACGTTACTGACATATTCGTAATCAAATCATTAGTAAGTTTAGCATATTCAGTGATCAGTTACTCCATATTTTGAGGGTTTTTACTGCATAAAAATCTGTGCCTTGGTTATAATACTTAGCATGAATACCCCTGTTATGTTCAAAGTGTTATGGAATTATCATTATGATAAATTGATTATTATAAATATTTTAGGAAGGAAAGCAGGAAAGGGTGTCTATATCTATAAGAAAGACAGTAAAGAGAAGACGGTAAATGAAGGAATATTAACCCTTATTAATAAGTATCACCTTGAACCAAAAGGTTTTCAGAGTGAAGAAGACCTCCAATTGAGAATGGTGTCAAGGTTTGTTAATGAGGCCATCCTCTGTCTACAGGAAGGCATCCTTAATGGACCTGTAAGTTCAGCTTCTGTTAGACCTATTTTATATTATGGAGTAATATGATATCTATATTATACCCAATCCTCATAATTCCATTATGAATAATGAAAGGCTGATTGATGGAAGCCATGTATTTGTAAAAGCTTAATCTTGTCCATATAACTATTAAAAGTGCTTTTTTTTCTATTCTCAGTGCAAATTCAATAAATTTTTCATTGGTGGGTTTTTCTTGAGGAAATTTCTTCCGTTTAAAAAAAAATTATTATATTTTATTGTCAACATTTCAAGCCTCTAACCAATTCACCGTAGGACAATTCCTGAGTATCTACAGTTGGTAGGACTGGACCCACGCTTCTAATGTGCTTGGGTGGGGCCATTAGGAGTAGAGAGAGAGCTAGCCACTCCACACTTACAACCAGTTTGTCTGTAACATTCATAATATTGGAGCAGCAGGTCTATTTAGTTTAGTTGTTTATTCAGAGACAACAGGGCGAGAAAAGGATATATTTTGAATTTAAGTTTTGAAGCGGTAAAAACTATTCTAAGCTAAAAGGTATAAGATAATCAATGGTATGTGCAGTGGCCTGCCATGATGTAGCCAAGTTTCCACTCTCATCAAGTAGCTCCATCCCCACCATTTTTCTTTAATATTAATTATCTTATTAAATATATATTAAAAAAAGTCTATGACTTTTTATATTTGTATTGTCATAATCTAATCTTCATCAATGAATAAAAATTTAGGTTTCAGATAGTTTTTTATATATTTATACAATTTTAAAAGAGGCACTAAAAATCTTACTTCTCTTTATGCAGACATAATCAATAAATATATATACCAATATACATCTCTCTATTATATAAAAAGTTTTCAGTGACTGTGCCATATTTTAATTTACATATACAAAGAATTATTTCTCCCTTATCATGGTTGTAAATTGGCAATAAGGCGCAATGTATGATATAGATTAAAAAAAAAACAAAAAAAAAACTACCTCTACAACCCATGGAGGGTCTTGGGTTCATTACTATTTAGGGAAAGTACTGTTTCTTAGTTAACAGTTGTGCAAGGAGGTGATTTGACTGAAATCATGCTCAACCACCAGGTTTTTCCTCTTAATTAATTATTTAATTAAGGGTACCAACTTTATAGAGGCTGGGTGTGCCTCAGAAGGGTCTCTTAATCCCGGGGCAGACCCACAGCTAAAGAAACGGAATAAACAATTTTTCTGCCACCCGCCGGGATTCGAATCTCAGACCTTTAGCATTGGAAGGTTAGTGCCATACCACTGTGCTAACCCACTTCCTAATTTTTCTATGATTATTAAAGAAATTAAAAATTTGTCTGAACTGTGGTATTGTTCCATTTATTTTATGTTGATAAAAAAAGAAAATGCAACGTGAACTACTTGAATACATGTAAATTATAGTTATACAATTTTCACACAATGGGTAGTACAATTAAATAAGCTTTGTATCTTTTGTAAAATGATCCGTGTGCCGTTAGACTGTAGTCCCCTAGTGAAATAATATAAAAAGAAATTGAATTGTAACAGGAACAAAATCCAGTTCCTTACAAATAGTGTTACAATGGATTAATTCAGAGTAATACTCTACACAAACAAGATAAATCTTAGCTATGATGTCTTAATAAAATAGAGCATGAAATATAAATTAATAAATGATTTAAAAAAAAATTTAATTACAAGTTGAATGATTATTTTTGGTGCTCTTTTTTTTCTGTTTTTAAATTAAAAATTCACACTGAAGATGGGTTAAAGGCCCGAATGATGGCAATAAAATATAATTAATAAGTAAATTATTTTAAAAATGGAAACAATTTCTTCAACAAAAATCCCACTAATATGTTTATATGATTCTTCTTCAACAAATAATAATGTATAAATAAATCCTTCGCTTTTATGATTGTAGTAAGTAAAGTTTAAATTTAAATTTCATTTTATTAATTTAAACAAACCTTGTTTGATAGGTTGAAGGAGATATAGGTGCAGTGTTTGGTTTGGGTTTCCCTCCATTTACTGGTGGACCCTTCAGGTTTGTCGACACATTTGGTGCTGCCCGGTTGGTCGAAAAGATGAGAGCTTATGAACAAGCTTATGGAGCCGCGTTTACACCTTGCCAACTTCTCCATGACAAGGCCAAATCTGGATCGAAGTTCTTTTCTTAATAGAACTGTATGATATTTTATATTCATATAAAAACTTATATTTTTAGCGTTATATAAAAATATGAGTTTTTATAGAAAATCTCAAATTCATTTGGGAAAAGAAGTAGTCAGTAACAAATCAAACAAAAGACTTATTCCTTCTTGGAGAAATCAAATTTCTCCTTCCTGTCGACTAGTTATATTTATATTTTTATATAGTCTATGTACATTTTAATATTTTCAAAAAATTAGTTGAACTGTAATTTATATATACATTAAAATGACTTTATTTTTGATTAAATAAACTTTTTTAGTATTTATATATGCCTACATTCAATTATTAACATTACCTCTTAGTGAAATAATTTACAAAAATTATATTTTCTGAAATTATTCGATCAAATATGACATTGATTCGAATGTTTCAAGTGTTCTTTCTTTGCTTTGTTATTGTTATTGTGACTGCAAAAAAAAAAAAATATATGGAAAGTTATTAGTGTTGGGGCATAGTTTTTATGGCCACATTTGGTAATTTTCTCTATTTAAATAAAGTGTTTACCTATTGGAATTAATTTTCTGATTAATTAAATAATTAAACCATCTTTCTGATCTACCCTATGGATCACCATCCACCATCTGGTATCTGTGATACTCTCACTTGAATGCTGCTGAAATCCGAAGTGTTTTTTTTTTAAATAGATTTGTACTGAATTAGTACAACTTGGATAGCTGTATGGATAAACAAATGGTCTAATGAATAGAAAACTTTATATTATGAATAATTATTGCTGGTCACTCATCAATCAGCGCACTATTGATTTGTCATATTTTGGAGCAATCTGATATGTTTTTTTCTATGTACGATTGTTCAGCCATTTTAATTCTGTTCTTTTTTTATCAGAATATTTGTCAAGTGCATCAATCTGTACAACAAAAGTATTTCATGAAACTTTCAAGTAGAATATATAATAAAAATTAACTCTGCTTCCTGTTCATTTACTCTGTTTAAGACTTAGTATTCAAAATCTAATTGAATGTTCCATAGTAAATCAATCAAAAACTACCCGTCTATATACCATTTGAAACAAAATGGTGACATTTTATGATTTCTGTTGAGCTACTTAAATTTTAGTGATGAAATGGATTGAACTTTACCTATACCATTTAAAAAATAAAAATAATCATAGTCTGTGGTACAGACCCCTATTTATCAAATTATTAACATCTACCTGAAACTTCCTAAATAGCTTTATCTCATTGTAACCTACAAATATTATTTTATTTACGAAAATTCTCGGAATTATGGCATTTTCAATCAGGTTCACTATTTAGTTAGGTTCTAAAAACTCGTAAATACCCATTTGTATTCCATTTGAATCTTAAAATAACTTGAGCATAAAGTCGAGAAAAAGGTGGCCTTCAAGAATATTGAGCCCTTTAGCTTGACCTATACCTTCAAATCGACAAAATAGTGAGATTTTTAGGCCACCTTGTATATAGATTTTGTGATCAAATTATGTTACGATCCAAGTGGAAAACAAATGTGTATTTAGGAGTTTTTATTACCTAATTAAATAGACAAAGTTTGCTGACCTCCATTTTGTAAACTCCCCAATACCGAGAATATTTGTAAATAAAATATTTGTTATGATGAGATGAATTTATTTACGAAGTTTCAGGTTTATGTTAATAATCTGATAAAAAGGGGTCTGTACCATGGACCATTAACTGCTACTTAATTAGAAATCCTATGAAGTATGGAATAACTAAACAACACTTTTTAGTATGCAACTTTCATGTTAAAATTTTGACTTCTTTCACTTCCTCTAACATAGGTATTTAAGTAAATAACAAAGTGGCATTAAGTGAAATCATCTAAAGCTAAAGCTTGTCTTGTTCCTGAAATGAATGAAAAGTTCTCTATTGAAAGACAGTAGTTCCATATGCTGATAAAAAGTATTGTGCCTACCAATGTCATGTTTTTTTTTGTTTTCAGTTTCAAAAATATTAACATAAAAGGTTGTCAACCCATAGGCTGCTATATGTCTGATCCTGATGAAGAATCTTAGAGTACTGAATAAATATATTTACGCAGGCGTGATTGTCAACAACTTATTTGGTTACATAATCTGTAGCCAAGAACTAAGCAAATACATTTATTTTTTATTTCAAATTTAATAAAAAATCGTTTCCAATTCCTTAAAATGATCTTAATATTTCTGAATTAGCTACTAATATGAATAATGGATGAAATGAATTAATTTGATTCTACATTGGTTTTATAATATCTATTCCAAGCAGGGTGGTTCTGGGTACGAACAGAGTTATTGAAACTGTGGCTACAGAAACAATGAACTGTTTCTTGAATATAGTGTTCTAGTACAATATGCCTTCTTAATAATAAGTTTTTTTTTATAAAATACAAAATATTTTTAGTATTTTTATTTGAAAAACTCCTATCGAAAAAGTAAATTATGTTATAAAAAAGTTGTATAAATAGTTCAATAGAAATGTTTTTGGTGCATTTGATTAAATTTAGACAAGACATAAGTTCCAATTCTGTCCTTTTTTTTCTTAAATCTCTTTATTCTCATATATAATGTTTCAGGCTATTATGCCATTTTCAAGAACATTTAAAAAAAAAAATATATATATATAGGCCTAATTAATATTGTTAAAACTAATTATTTTTATTGTTAAAATCTTCTATTTATCTAATTTGTTAACTGTAATTCAAAACATAATTAGTTTTAATTATAAGGTTGTATTTGCTTTTAAAAAGATTATTGAAAATTGGCTGAAACGTTAGAGATAAGTAAAAGAATGTTAAGGCAAAAGGATTAAATTAAAGTTTATTACTAAAAAGAAAGTCTTTAACAAGTCCAAGAATTATAATGTAAATAGTTAAGATCGTTTATAGCAGAAAAAATGTTAGCCTAGAAAATTGCAGTAGAATACACCTAAACTCCCCTACAGTGTTAAGTTGAAAAATGTTTGTTAGGTGTTGAATACACCTAAACTATACCTCCATTAATGTTTAATAGTAACTTGGGCCGGTTAGACTTTATGTGCAACACTCAAGTTTAGTCAAATTGTCAAAATTTTTAATGAAATTGGACATACTGGTTTATTGCAAAAAGCCATGTAGTACATTTTTAGTAAAGGTTAGCTTTCACCTATGTTTTTTTATAAATTTTGATTTTATTTATCATATACAGAGTTTCCCATCAGTAGAGGGAAAATTTTATAAGAGTGATAGCAGATCTCTCTGACAATACTCAGCAGGAAAGTAGACAATCCAAGTTTTGTGAATTTTTAGGTGTCGTGGATTTGGTGAATAGGAAGTGATTACACAAATATTTAATTTAAGTAATTAACAATTGCTTTACTGTAAACTAGACAAAATTTACTTCTGATGCAAAGAGAGTCAGTCATTGTTAAAACCATTTAAAGAGGATTTTTCAGTGGCTAAACTATGCTAAGTTCTGTTTTTTAAAAAATCATAAATTGTTCGCAATTTTTTTAATGGTTCTTGAGACATATTACGGATACCCCACCCTGAAAAAATTTCTCATTAAATAAGCTAAAGTTCACATTAATTAACTAGAGGTTTATTGGAGAAAAACTTGAGATTCACCTCAAGATATGTAAAAAATGATGTGATTTAATGTCACCTGTCACCTAGAATTACCTATATTTTCTGCAAAAATTACTTCGATAAGCTGTTGCAAAGCTTTTATTTCTTGTTTTTCCATGACCTAGGATTTATTGTAATACATATAATTGCCTAAATACATTTTTTTTTTTTAAATAATGATTTTCAAATGTTTTTCAGGTAAAGTGGTTATGCAACTGTTTTCACCAAGATCTCTATAATAGGTCATTGATCTGTATTTATAAATGACAAACTAAATGTTCCTGATCCCAATATTTACGTTTTCATGCAAAGTTTCTTTATTGTAAATGTATATTTTAGGATTAGTAACGTTTAGTTTGTCACTTAAAAATATGGATCAATTTATATAACCGAGATCTGGATGAAAAACACAGTTTCATAATAACTTTACCTGAAAAATCATTATTTAAAAAAATTTGATAAATAAAAAGTGTTTATAGGCAATTATTATAATACATACTATGTCAAGGAAAACCAAGAAATAAAAGCTGTGTAACTATCAATTGTAGTCAATTTTGTTGAAAACACAGGTACTCTTAGGAGATGGATGTAAAATGCCATCATTTTTTTATATAACTGGAGGTGAATCTTATTTTTTCCCCTAACTAAACCTTAACTTAATATGAACTTAAAGATTATTGAATCAGGAAGTTTTCTAAAAGTGGGATCTGTAGTATAGGGTAAATCACCAGTTAGGGACACTCTTAAGCCAATTTTTTTTTTGTTATAAACAGCTAACACATTATCGATCCTTTTTTAAATGGTTGATGATATATTTTTGTTACTCGTAGTGTAAAGAATAATTATCTGTCCTTACCCAACCACAAAATGATTTTTTTATATTTTTTACAATTTTTTAAATTTAAGATTTTTCTGCTTGATTAGTTATGGACACCCCTTTACTTACCTTTATATCTGTTCAAAAATAGAAGTTTCATGAAAAATTATAAAACTACTTCCACTAAATTTTCCACAAATACTTTTTATTTTGTTTTTCTAATTTTCTAAATATTTTTTTAAACTAGGTTTATCAAATAAATAAACAAGAATACACTTTACTTATATAGAGATCTAAAATTAAACTGTTCTAGGTGGTATACAGTTTTTAACTAGTTACTTACCTTTATATCTGTTCAAAAATAGAAGTTTCATGAAAAATTATGAAACTACTTCCACTAAATTTTCCACAAATACTTTTTATTTTGTTTTTCTAATTTTCTAAATATTTTTTTAAACTAGGTTTATCAAATAAATAAATAAGAATACACTTTACTTATATAGAGATCTAAAATTAAACTGTTCTAGGTGGTATACAGTTTTTAACTAGTTACTTTATAGGACATTCGATCTTTCTCTCCTCTGTTTTTTTAATACCTTCTTTTTTCCATTCTTGTTTGTCATACAATTTATGGCACCTAGCAGATCCTCATCTTTCTCGCTCATAAATGTACTAGATGCTGTTACAGATTTAGAAGTGAGCTGTGAAATTAGAGGATGTGTCTTGAGAAACTCTTGGAGCCATCCTTCTTTTTTAAATTTTGTTACTCTATTTTTTTGTATTATTACCTCTTTAATACTCAACAGTAAGTCAATCTAACGCCTAGGAAATCCTTTTCTCGCACGTTGCAGGATCCATTTCCTCGTTTTCTTGAGTCGAGACTGCTTCAGTACATTTCATTCTTCCTGTCACTTTAAATCTCCTACTAATTAGTGTTGCTCTAGAAATCTGATACTTGAGTGCAACTGATTTCACTGACATTTTTAATGTCCTCTATTGCTAGAGCAACTTGCATGGTATGGTTAGCATAAATAATAGTAGAAAATTTATATAAATATATATATTTTTAAAAATCACTGTACATTAACTCACTGAATAATTAACTAAATTCATT